TTTGCAAGGTTGTTGTGTGTGTGTGTGTGGTGGGGGGGGGGATTGCGGTACTGCTAGCCTTACTTCTGTGCTGCTGCTGGCAGGGCGCTGCCTTCAGAGCTGGGCAGCTGGTGAGTGGGGGTGGCTGGTCGGGAGCCCAGCTCTGAAGGCAGAGCCGCTGCCAGCAGCAGCACAGAAGGGTGGCATAGTATGGTATTGCCACCCTTCCTTCTGTGCTGCTGCTGGCGGGGCGCTGCCTTCAGAGCTAAGCGCCCAGCCACCAGCCAACTGCTCTCCAGCCTCCCCGCTCTGAAGGCAGCACAGAAGTAAGGGTAGTAATACCGCGCCCCCCCCTCCCCTCCCCAAATAACCTCGCAACCCCTCAACAAACTCATTTTGGGTCAGGACCCTCAATTTGAGAAATACTAGTCTCCTCCATGAAAGCTGTATCGCATAGGGTAAAAGCATACAAAAGACCACATTTCATGGTCCATGATGCGTTTTTCATGGCCGTGAATTTGGTAGGGCCCTACTCATAATGCACTTTATAGATGAGATATGAGAGAGAGAGAGAGAGCGCGCGCGCGCGCTAGCTTGGATACAAGTCTAGCAATGGTTGAATGGCTAATATTGACACAAGGAATGTCCCAATTCCCAGCTTGGTGGAATTCATGAAGCATTTTGGGAGTCTGCAGAAGGGAAGGCACTGCATGCACACTATTACTACCTTGTAGACAGTAACTAAAATGACACTTGCTTTCTTCTTCCTTAGAATAAAATAAGCTTCTGTGTGGGAGCATGTACTGTACATATTATATAAATATGGGGGGGGGGGGGAGAGGCGGACTTTTAGTGTGTGTCCTAAGAAATAATGTTAGTGTAAAAACAACTCTAATTGGATGATAGGTGCATTCATTATATTACGTCCAGGTGAGGGGGGGATATGCCCCTTTTCCCTTCATTGCCCAAGGAAGAAAGCCTGGATGAGACATTCTCTAATTAGGCAGGCCCTCAGGCAAAGGAAAGCCATACATTTTCTCATGGTCTTTATATCCTTTGGAAGGATCATCCTTGCTCTCCAGCTTGTTTAGCAAATCAAACATCTGAACACATTTCTCTTCCAACACAAAGCCAAGAGAAATGGTTAATAATAGATTGTGAGTTAACACCTAGGGAGGAGCTCTGTGATTAGGACAAAGCCGGCCTTAGGAAGCCCCTGCACAGAGTAATTGCAAGCTGCTTTCCCAATGCAGCGATGAATCTGCCTCTGGAAATAGGAGTTCTGCTCCCAGGACTGATGACTTACATGGGACCTTGGGCCAAAATTTTCAAGAGTGGATGCTAAGTTGGGTGCTAGAATGTTGGGGTGACTAACCTGAGACAGACCTCATTTCCAGAGGTACTGAGAAAAAGCTAGCAGCCCTTCAGTAACTGAAAAGCCTTGGAATGGGGGAAAGGCAGAATTCATTTTTCTCTGGCAGGCTCTCTGCAGAGCCACAGGAACCCATCCCCACCCCCAAGCACCTTCTTAAGCCCTAACCTCCATCAGCAGGTGAAGCAAGGGGAATTAATTACATGACAGCCTTGGTCTGATGTTTACCTGGCAAGGAAATATCCTTCACCGTTAAAGCAAGAGGAGGAGCTATTTAACCGAGTTTTGAAAAGCGGTTTTAGGACGGAGAGTACTGAGTGCTGTGGATGACTTGCAGGCTGGGCGAGGGGGATTCGAAGGGCACTATTCACACAAACAAATCACAATAGAAGTTTACACACCCTCTTACCCTCACTCGATCATTTCCCTGCCATTTCAGGGGCCTCGGGCACATAACAGTCTAGTCTCCTGTGGGCTGTAATACTTGGGTCTCATTTTTTTCGGTTGCTGGGTTTAATGTGCAGGGGTTGGTGGCCTACGATATACAGGTGGTCAGACTGATTTGGTGATCCCTTCTGGTCTCAAACTCTATGATACATTGCACTGGTATAAATGACTACATAGAGGTGTAAGAGCAACAAAATCCAGCCCCAACAGTTTAAGGCAAGCTTGGTGAAATCCTTACTAAAGTCATCACACTTACAATATCGCATTTAAATTTTCTACATCAGTGTTTCCCAAACTTGGGACGCCGCTTGTGTAGGGAAAGCCCCTGGGGGGGCCAGTTTGTTTACCTGCCGAGTCCGCAGGTTCAGCCGATCGCAGCTCCCACTGGCCGCGGTTCGCTGCTCCAGGCCAATGGGAGCTGCTGGAAGCGGCGTGGGCCGAGGGACGTACTGGCCGCTGCTTCCAGCGGCTCCCATTGGCCTGGAGCAGCAAACCGCGGCCAGTGGGAGCCGCGATCGGCTGGACCTGCGGACGCGGTAGGTAAACAAACCGGCCAGGCCGCCAGGGGCTTCCCCTACACAAGCGGCGTCCCAAGTTTGGGAAACACTGATCTACATTAAAGAGAGAAAACAAAAGAGTTAAAAAAAAAATCAACAACCCCAAAACAAAACAAACTTACAGTTCTCTGCCATTTCCTGACATCTTAAAGCCACCAAAAGGAGCTTGTGCATAAAGGGCATTGTAGCAGTTGATCCTATGGTCAAACATAAATTTTTATCAAATTAAACAGTTGGAAGGTGGGGGAAATAGATTCATCTTTATTAATATTCACGAGTTGCCTGACAAATGTGCCTCTTCCCTTTATTTACTTCACTAGGTATTTTAGTCACTACATTTTGGTCATTTCAGCCACAGGGTTTGATTTTTATCATAGCACAAAACATAGAATATTTGAGAAACCATCATTCTCTACAAAGATTGGTCCTTTTTTCCTCATTTTCCAGCCAGGACCAGCTAACACATCTGTAAATATCTTAAGCTGTGTCTATGCTGGTTTCAAAGTCTCATTTAAAAACACACTTTTAAAAAATATAACCTATTTCCTTGTCTAGACACGCCCACCTCAGCTGCAACTGCTTTGCTACTGTCCAAAGTACAAGTGGTAGGTGTAGGAATACAATTGTATTAGACACATTTGTGTTGGGGTGCGAGTAGAAATTGCTAGTGTAACCCACTGGTGAGCGTATGGTACACTAGCTCCCCCGAGGGCCTACTCCTATAGGACACTAGCTGTGGTGTGATTACGAGGATTCAAATCCTGTTCCCTTGACTACAGCACCTGACCAATGTGAGCAGGATTTGGCCGGTTGCAACAGACAGGACTGTAGCATCACATGAAGAAGTGTGGTGGATCCTGTCTTCAGAACCAAAGACAGGATATTCTCTTGAAAATATCCTTAGAGAGGCTGAAAATCTTGGATAAATACAAAGCATTGTTTCTAAATAGAAAAGATTTAAAAAAAAAACAACAACATACTATCAGACACCAGAGCGAAACTGCCATTGACTACAGTGGGGCCAGGATTTCAGCCCTGTGCTTTAAACTGTCCTAATATTAAAGAAGGAGCTTTGTACACAAAATACTGACTTGCCTCTTTAAACAGTGACATGGTGCCATCTACTGTCCAGACCAATTTGTTACATAGTCTGAGACCTTATACAATAACTACACAATAAACAGCATCCCAATAGTAGTAGTATTTTTTTTTTTTAAATAAAAATTTCTCAGCAGGCATAACCATGTTATTCGATAAGGCAGCATATGCTGTTGGGATTTTCCATATGAAAGATTACATTTAAAATGTGTGGGAACTAAAACAGTTCGGTTTCTCTAAAATACATTTCACTCTCACAATCTCATTTTCGGCAACGGCTATTGCTTCTTAGGACAAAATTTCAAGAGGAAGGGAGTTCAGGGTCAGTGTTACTGGTCACCAGGGCTCAGACATGTAAACTACCTCTGTGTATCGCACCCCATAGGCAGAAACACATTTACCAGACTGTTCCAGACTCCAGCGCAGAAGCTAATGTCAGAGCTCTGTCCAGATTCTTTGTGAATACGGCTGCTGTGAGTCCATATTCAGTGTTATTCGCTCTTTTTATGACCTCTTCTATACTTTTGAACTTCATTATTGACTGCACTGGTCCAAAAATCTGTAAGCAATTAAACAGGCATTACTCTGCAAAGAACAGTGAGTGTTCTGAAAATTAAACTTAGAAATGTTATATGGACATCTTCAGTTTTGGTGTTTTAACGTTTTCAATCTGTGCGATGGACCTGCTCTTGCAGAAGAGAATGACAAAACTCCCCACTGATTGCCAATGGAATCTGGTTCAGGCCCAGTGTGAAGTGAGGTGCTACAGTAGTAGACCCATGCAAAGCTCCGAAGATTAAAGATTTTCCTTTGCAATATGGTATCTTGTAATCTACATGAGCAAAAGTTATTTAGTTAAAACGGACAAGAGTTAGTTCTGGATGCGTTTAAAATGGTTCATTCTTTCTCCATTCAGAACTCTCTCTATGGGCACAACAGGCACTTGCTGTAGTTGAAATGTACGACATTTACATACATTTTCACCCAGGTTGTCTACACCTTTGCAAAATCAGCTGCATGTATCAACACGCACAAGTGGCTGCCCACCACTGCATACGCTAGCTCTGCAGGTGCATAACCTGGCTCATGTATTGATAAGGGCAATCGGCAGCCACAGAATAGTACAAGCCTATTTTTCTGAGCACAAGTGGGCTGAAGTTTCGTACACAGTGCAATACAGAAGCAATGCCAGGACACGTCTATGTGCTGATGAACATATGCTATGCAAGCTGATACTCCACTGATGAAATGGAGACATGCTCCTACACGTAGCTTTCCACAGGGACATCCCCTGCAAGAGCTTAATCAATTGTTTCACAAAAAGGTGGACTCCAAACAAGTTGCTGCAAATTCCTGCCTTTTTAAGGTCCGCGTTCTTAATGGACTCTTGCTAGCAGACAGTAACAGGACATGAAACTGGAGAAGCCCCATGAATCATGAGTTTGGGATCTGGAGGTAATTCATTTGAAAGAGGTTTGTCATGGGATTGTCTGTTCAGCTCTTATTCTTCTCTATTTTTAGGACACTCATGCCCAGGCTGACTGAGGTTTTTCCAGGTTCCTCAGAGACTGCATGGCAGATCTGACACATCAAGATGATACTTTCTTTCCCAGGAGTATACAATAAGTGACCCCATAAAAAGGTCTAGGCTAAACTATCAGACACCTTGGTATATAATAGGACCTTGACAGCCACTTTATTCCCATTCTATTCCCCAATGGAAATACATTTGTTAATATTGTTTCAAAGGGAAACCTCAGGGTCTAATCACAGGCCGCTTGTTTCAGCTTGCTTGCTATTAAATACTGAAAACCAGAGAGTGTCTGACTTACAAGTCTGGTTTTCCCAGTATTTTGACACTAGGATGACTGAGCCAGCACAGACAAGGATATCAGCAAGAGAAGAATAGCGTTTACATCTGCAATTATTGGGCTCACCAAGTTTCTCTTTGTAGGTTATTGGAATATTCTAACTTGTCCATGAGTTCCAACATCAGGGTTTCACTGGGAGGCACAACAACTACTCAGGGCTTTATAGCAACAGTGGGGTTAGAACTTAGATCATCATGCCCAAAAGCACAGGGGGCATATCCCTGGAGCCAAAGGGGAACCTCTCCTAACTTTGGGCACATAAACCCTGGCATGCACAGTTGAGCAGTTCTGATTCCATCCAGTAGGGGGCACAAACATGGTGCCCTACCTAGCCAACTAGGTATAATATGCAACTGTGGATTTAGATGGTCCAAGAATTTTCTGATCCTGGAGAGGGAGCAGGCAGGTGAGGAATTTCTGTAACTGGTAAATATATGCCTGAATTATTGCAATTTACTGAATTTGCAAGTCAGAAAAATACTGTCAATGCCCTTCCATTAAAAATGATTTCGTTTTCAGTAACAACGTTTATAGCAACTACATGAAACCCTAATTCGGCACCACATTGAAGCATATGCTTAAATGTAAACAGGTGCTTAAGTGCCATTGACTTTAATGGGGGCATAAGAAGCTTTCCTGATTAGAGGCGCTTTCCTGAATGGGGGCCTGAACGCTTACAGCTGAAGTTCACACATAGATGTGTTACTGTAGCGTGCTCATATACTATGCAATCACACTCCGGCTCTAACAACTTTGACAGTATCCCCTCCCCTTTCTCCTCCTATTAAACTTCCACTTCTGGTTATTGGTCAGATTAGTTTTTAAATAAACCTCGGAAATTCCCTTATTACCAATGTGTCGGAAAATAATTTCTGCACCACGCAGCTTTTTGGGATGCTCGGTCAACTTAATAAATTCTGCAATTTTCAGTCATTTATTTTGCTTGACATCTACTAAGATCATGGCAAAAAAAATTTCAAATTAGTGGGACTGTCACTGAAAATAACGAAGGAAAAGCACCGTTAAAATATTGTACTGTGGCTGCTACACGTGACCTGAAATCTAAACCGCCGATGGAGTACTGTACCTCTTCTTTGGCAATTCGCATGTTGTCCGTAACCTCTGAAAACACGGTGGGTTTTATGAACAGACCTCTGTCTCCGATGGCTAAACCCCCACACTCCAGCTTGGCACCTTCTTTCTTCCCGCTTTCTATCAGCTCCAAAATTTTATCAAACTGTTTTTGGTCAATCTGTCAGATACAAAAGGCATGTCGTGGAACAGCAGCTCTATTGTTGTCACTGTAATTCCAAAGACTTGGTTCAATTGCAGCTATGTTATTGGACAACGGTTAAACTACTTCAGTACATGGTTAGATTGTACTATTGAGGTTTGCATTTCACTTAGGATTCAGCTACATTACGAAAATGACCATATCTAAGCACAATTAATAGAGCTTGTCTATACCTGGACTTATTCCAGAATACCTATTGCACTTAAAATTCACTCCCTCCCTTAATGTGAATTAACACTCAAACGTAGACAAGCCTTTTGGAGACTAAGGGTATGTCTACACCAGTGGCTCTTGACCGTTCCCCGACTACTGTACCCCTTTCAGGAGTCTGATTTGTCTTGCCTACCCCCAAGTTCCACCTCACTTAAAAACTACTTGGGTGGGTCTACGTGACCTGCAATCACCCCCCTCCATGGTACTAATGCAGACAGACCCATAAACAGTGTCGCAACAATTTCTGGTCCTCGGTCTTCCTCTTTCCACACTGGCAGGACCAGACAGTCCTAGAACACAGTTAGTCCCCAACCTTGTTAAACCAGTGAAGATCTAAGCATACCACAGCCCTCGGCTGGGCAGTACTACAGCCTATTGCTTTTGAAAATCGTTTTAATAGCAAGTGCACATCAAAATGATCCAGTATTGGACTGTCAATCTTTCCCACTCGCTACAACCTTTCATTGGTAATTTGGGCTCTAGTCAAAGAAGGGTCCTGTTTTGACTTCAGTAGATGCGTGCATCAGGATGCACAAGTCAGGGTTTGCAAGACCCAGCCCAAAGCAGACGTAGTTATATAACCCCCGCTAGATTATCCACAGGCAACAGTTCGCCATAATTAATTCTGACCTCGTGCTTCCAATCTGAATTTACCCAAAAACAAAACATCAGAGCTCTGGGGAATAATGAGATATTTGGGAAGCCAGGTACACAAGGAAGAACACAATATAATGTACGTTGCTGAGTGCATGCAAAATTTGCCTCTGCAATGTAAACACAAAGCAAATACAAAGTATACATGTTGCACTCACATATAAACACATAGGGTAGGTAAAGTAGGGGATGGAAAACAATCTTTCAAGAATGCACAGTACTGCCCGGGGAAACGGCTGCTATCACAGATGATGCAGCGTGCCACTTACAAGAGTTGGCAGGTGGTTTGCATATTGTTTATTTGCCCGGTTGCTACATGTGAATAACTTGAAAGTATCTGAGAGTGCTTTCCATGCTGTCCTGTCTCTGGCCAAGACCAATCTAGGTCAACCAACCACTTTACATCATAAAAACAAGAATATTTATACAACTGTAACTTCTTGTAAAGCAAAAGCCTGTTAGATGAAGAAACACACTGAGGAAAAGCAAAAACAACAACCTGTTTCCAAAAGCGAAATAAAAGCACTAACAGTCCTACCCTTGTTATTTCAACTACAGCTTGCAAGACTCTTAACTCTGACCACTATTTTATCAAGGAGAGGAAGGAGGGTCCAGTGGTTAGGGCAGTAATGTAGACCTGGGAGACTCAGGTTCAGTTTCCTGGTCTTCCACAGACCTCCCCATGTGACCTTGGGCAAGTCACTTAGTCTCTATGCCTCAGTTTTCCCCCATCTGTACAATGGCAATATTAATACTGCCCTACCTCCCAGGGGCATTGTGAGGAGAAATAAATTAAAGATTGTGAAATATTCTGATATATTATGTTTCTGATCAAACAAAAGCTATTTAATAGAGGGTAAAACCAAAATTAAAACCTGTAAATAATAAAGAGGCCTGATCTGGTAAGACAAATCCTGCTACTGAGCCATCTAAATCAGAAAGCAGTGGTCAATAGCTGATTCAGAGGAAAGCAATTTATATACACACACACATATTGTATACCCCTCCCCCAATGACCATGGTAGAAGAACCGGGGGGGTGGGGAGAAACAAACAAACAAAAAACCCACCCACCCACCCCACACACACACCCCTCATAGCACACCTGATCAGTTGGGCAAAGGTCTACATGGAGAAGCTTTGCCTTCCTGGCGCCTGCAGTATTTCAATATTTTTTTTTATTAGCAGATGTTTCTGACCCGATGTGTGAGATTTGATTACTCTTATCTGGTCTTGCTCAACTACACATGTTATTGAAATTATCCAGCACCAATGTCGGACTCAGCGGCTTCTGCCCAGTGAATTCCTTAGGGTGACTCTAGGTTGCATAAAGTAATATTCCCTTTCATGTGTTTTATGGGTGTTGTCTTGCTCATTTATTACAAGGAAAGGTATTCAACCCACAAACGCACACCACAGACTAACTGGAGTTGAAGATGCCACTCAGAATTTTGTAGGGCCCCCTGAAGGTCCCGCCAACATTTTCTTCCCAAGCAAAACATATTTCTTATTTGTGGTTTCATTTTAAATTGCTACCCGTAGGGCTTGTCTACATGGCAAGTTAATGCATAGCAAGCCAGAGTGTGAATCTACAGCACGCTAGCTTGCTGCACACTAGCTGGCTGGGAGGACCCAGCTGCCACAGACTAAAAATTTTCCATAGTGCACTTGGACACACTTCCATTTCCAAGTGCACTACGGAACTTTTTTTAGTGTGCTGTAGCAGGGTCAACACAGCCACTTAGCACGTGGCAAGCTAATATTAGCGCTGTAGTTTCACGCCCTGGCTTGCCACGTGCTAACTCACCATGTGACAACCCCACGGTATCTGTCGAGAAGCACCTGCAGCTGAACTGGGACCAGAAAGTCTGTCCACTAAAATCAACTTTAGCCTGAAGACAGGCAGTGTCCCGTTCTGTCCACCAGAGACCCACAATCCCAAAGTTTGTCCCAGAGCTGGGTCTCCTGACAAACTAAGATGGTTACGAAATATCGGATGAGCCACAACTGCTTTTTATGTAATAACTTCATTCCCTATGTAAGTAGAGTCTGGATGAGCTCTCCCCTGACATCTAGTGGTGAGCTGTGGAAAAAAGACTTCAGAAGCGGATCTCGTTTGCATGGACACACCCACCCTGCATAGGTGCTCAGCATTGGGACTGCTTGCCCAAATGATCACTTGTGGCTGGTGTTGGATCCCCAGTCTTCTTGTTATTGGGGCAGGAGTAATAAAGGGTTGCTATCCTTGTGTGAACCAAGGGCAGCAGAACTCTACCTGGCATATGCCAATGGAGGGACTCACCCTCCACTGAACAGCACTCACTAGGCAGGAGACATGGGTTCGAAAGCCCAAGGGGGGAACAGGTACTTGTACCTGGTAGTGTGGGCCCGGTTTAAGGTTCTGGACACCGTGTGGCCCTTCTCTCCATGGGATAATAAAAGAGCGAAGTAAGACTCAATTGAGAGTCTGGTTACGTGCTGCAGAGCTGAAATCATCAAGACCTAGGTTTAAGTATTAGGCCTACTTTGGGACAGTGTCTCTATTGCAAGAGATTGCCTAGTGTGCACCAGTGAGGCTCCCTCACTAACAGCTGAAATCACGGAAAGCTGAGTTAGGGAGGGGGGCTGAAGACATCTTGGTGAGCGGGCAGCTTCCTGAGAGGGGTGGCAAGCAGCTAGCAGGGCGGCTGGTGAAGAGACGTGGCAAGTGGCCCACAGAGAAGCTGGTGGAGAGGGCCAGTGCAGAGCCCCGCAGAGGCATGGCAATTGGCCTTTGGGGTAATGAGTGAGTGCCCGAGCAGGGTGGGAAATGAACTCTGGGGCTGCACTGACCCAGGACAGCAAGGGTGAGTGGGGTACAGAGAAGGGACGGGCATGTTAAAGGGACTTTTGGGTTGCTGGACTTAAGACCCTGAGGGGAAAAGGACACTGTCCAACTTACTTGGGGGTGGGTCTTTTGCTCATGGTTTGTGTTATGAGCCCTAGTTGCGGTGTTTTCCCAAATTAATGTGGAGTTACTTCCCTCCTTTTATTAAAAGTTTTTGCTACACTCAGACTCTGTGCTTGCAAGGAGGGAAGTATTGACTCTTAGAGGCGCCCAGGGGGTGGTGTGTAATTGTCCCAGGTCACTGGGTGGGGGCTCGAGCCACTTTTGTGTTTCATTGTTGAAAAGGAACTCCTAGATACTGAACCTGGCCCTTGTCGCTGCTGGCTTCACCTGGCAGAAGGGTTACATGCATGTTCCCCTGAGGCACTACGAAGGGGAAGCTAATGCAGTAACTCGGCTGCTCGTATACACATACGTGTCCTTCCCATGGATCAGAGAGACAGAAATGGATGTAAAGCCAGGGGATCCACAGGAAAGCAGCCTCCCAGCCCCTGGGCATCTGCAGGGAGAGTGGCTTTCGACACACAGTAGTATGGTGGCCAGCTCCCATTGGCTGTTGGTCATCAACTGCACGATATGACCCAGCCCAGAGGAGTAATGCAGTGTGAGTGGCTGGTGCTATTGCCACATGTTTTAACTTTTGATGCAAAGGGAATAAGACCCTTTGTGCAGATGTTTGCTGGGCCCCAAACTCCTTTTCTATGTGGCCTGTCAGTCACATGGATATTCTGCAGCAGGGAAAATAGCATGCCTGGGGCGAGAGGAGGAGAAGTATTCGGTGTAGCTTCCTTGCCCTGACATTGTGCTCCTTCTCCTTATTGTTTGGATGCCTATTTGACTCCCCTCGGGGTGGACCATGTCCATCACAACAGCTGAGGCTTTTAAGTATTGCAAGTTATTAACAAACATAAATCTAATACGTGCGCTCTCTGTATTTATCTTCCCCACCCAGGAGAACGCAATGGAGAGAACAATGGAATCTACCTGCTTCAGCTCTGACCGTGGAGACAGGCCTAAGGCGCCATTCACCCAAGGTCTCCCAACTGTGCTTTTTAAATGTGTCTCGAACATGGGCCAGGTTTCCAGCTGCTGTCATTCTGCATGGACTTCAGTGGAGTTACACTGATTTACACCAGCTGAGGAGCTGCTCCTATATTCTCACAGCAGCACCAAAAAAAACCCCTCTTGATTTAGGACATCAGGGATTTTTTCTGGAAAAATATTTTGCTGAATTTTTAAAAAAAATACCCCAGAGACCAGATTTTAAATCTCATTCAGCCTGGTGTACCTCAGGAATCTCTTTACTGACTACAAAAGGAGTAACTGCTGAGTTACATGGGTGTAAGCAAGAGGAGAATCGGATTCAGACACGCTGGGCCAGATGGTGTAAGCATAGTTTCAGTCGTGTTGCAGTGGTTTACAGCAGCTGAGGCTCGAGCCCTGTATCTTTGGAAACTACTTTTGGAGGATTTACTGGGTTTTGATATTTTAAATGGTTTTGAAGGTTTCCCCCCCCTTCAGATTTGAACCATTTGTTCCAAAATGCACGTTTCCCCAGTGCCAGCCTGGAACACACCCTGTCCAAAAGCCAGACTCCAGAGAAGCAGCTGTTCTGATTATGTGCAGACAGAGGAAATGGTTTGTGTTGCACTAGGAACCACATGAAAGCTCTGAAAACAGCTTCCCCCACTCCATTCCCTATCTTGGGTCTCCTCTTGTTTAGATGGTTGGCACGCAGACATGCAGGAGAGAGGGAAAGGTCATATGCAGCTGGTCAGATAGAACAGGAGAAATAGGACATGTGGTCCTGTTGTATGTGAGCCAGTGAGCACCCCCAACTTCAGTACTAGCCACTTTATCATCTGTATTACTATAGCACCTACTTATGGACCAGGACCCTGTGGTGCTAGGTGCTGTACAAACAGAATAAAAAAAAAAGACAGCCCCAGCCCTTAGGAGCTTTTAGTCCAAGGTACCCTCACTCTCACTGAATAGCAACTAAGGCCTGGTCTACACTAGGAAATAACGTCGCTATAACTACATCACTCAGGGCAAGGGCATGAAAAATCCACCCCCCGAGCAATGCTGTTAAACTGACCTAGTGTAGACAGCACAAGGTTGACAGGAGAACTCTCCAGTCAACCTAGCTACCGACTCTCGGGGAGGTGGATTACCTAGGCCAATGGGAAAACCCCTCACGTCAGCCTAGGTAGCTTCTTTGCTGACGCTGCGCTGCTGCAGTGTTTTAAGTGTAGACCAGCCCTTACTCTGCAAGCAATTCTACTGGCTTCAAATGGGACTGTTTGCAAAGGAAGGTGTTGCTTAATGCAAGGCCATGTCTACACTACGGCACTGTAGTCGTGCCACTGTAGTGTAGATGCTTCCTACAGGGCCAGAAGGTTTTTTTTCCCCCTCCCAGTTGCGGTAGGTAGTCTCTCCCCCCAGGTGGCAGTAGCTAGGTTGACAGAAACATTCTTCCATTGACCTAACTGCATCTACACCAGGGGCGTAGGTCAGCGCTCAGGCACACAAATTTTTCACGCCACTGAGCAATGTAGCTATGTTGATCTTAATTTTAGCTGTAGACTAGGCCTAGGCAAAGGTATCAGAATCTGGTCTTATCGCACTAGCCATTAGGTAAGATTCTTTAATGACCGCATACCTGTTATCAAGGGCCCCATTCGGTCATCCTTATTCACCTTGAGTCGTAATTTACTCACACAAGCAGTCCAGGGATTTCAAAGCCAAGACTTGCACAAGTCAGTCATTATGCACAGTCAGAATGGCTGGCAGAGCTGGGCCCTCATTAGTTTCAGAACTCCAACTGTAAGTAGAACCTGCCTATTTTATACAGGGCTATCACGGCGACGGCCTAAGCCTTTCCAGTCGGTGTTGGGAAAGGTCAGAACCAATCAAAAATTATGGATTCCAGAGTTCGAACAAGCCGTGAAACTTTCTGGAGTGGCATTTTCCCATTTACCTTTGGCAGAGCACAAGTTCTGGGGTGCTACTGGTTTGTTATGTTTTATTAATAACTGGCTGCCCTAGGAGAAGAGGAAACATTGCCCTCAATCGTGGATCTTTATGGCTTCCTTAGAAGGGATAAGAAGAGGCGTAAAAAGCTCGAAATGTTGGGAAGGCTGATATTCAGGTCAGCTTGGCATCATCCTGTCTTCTACAGAATCTGCTTAAACCCCCCTGTCCATTAGGGGTTTTGTTCTCCACTTCTACAGATAACCCATCCTGTTATGAGGTAGCATCAGTATTTTATAGCTGAATTATAACACATCTGCAGCTACCATGCTCTGCCTGCACGAAATACTCCCTGTGCTGTAATATGTTTTGTATTACTATGAAAAGGGAAGCCCACTTGTGTAAATTTCTTTAGCATCAAGCTTTCAGTTCATTTATAGAAAGAGCCGACATGTCAACCATCATGATTAATTGATGTTTAGAAGGGAGAAGAAACAATAAATGACACCGCTGGATCAGGACTTCAGCTCACACACGAACACTCGCACCCTGAGAACAGAAAACTATTCTCAAGCACATCATTACCTGTGGCCCTTGTTCAGTTTTGGCATCGAATGGGTCTCCAATGAGTCGTTTCTTGGCGTACTCAACGCTGCGCTTGACAAATTCCGGGTAGATCTGCTCCTCCACAAATACTCGAGAGGCAGCAGTGCAGCACTGGCCTTGATTAAAGAAAACTCCTTGATGGGCACATTCGACCGCCAAGTCCACTGGAATGGAAAGGTCACCAGAGAGAGAGTGAGGCATTCTACTGACTTAAACCAGAAATTAACGAGACTTGTTGAAACTCCCTCATTACCAGTTCCCCCTCTCAATGCTTCCTCAAAAAAAACTCACTTCAAGGAGGCCTATAAAACTACCAAGAAAGAAAGCTCCCTGTTAGCCTCAAGACATGACCAAATCTTCTGACTGTCTGCACCACCATCCTCCCTCCTGGTACAGTCTCCGGTCGCACGTCTCCGCTAAGGGCCCAGTTCTGTCACCTTGACTCACACGGAGGAGTAGCTTATTCCCCACAAGTAGTCCCATTAAGGATGGCAGAATTTAGTCCTTATCCCCTGTGACGGGAGGTATTATGGGAAGGATGCTGCCTTGACATAAAGCAGGAGTGCTGGCTGAGAAAATTGTGTGGCCAGCCAAGCAGGGGTGCACTGATACAATATACCATCGCTGCAGCCTCAGCCAGCAAGTCTCTTCCCAGTGGGTCGCCCCCAAGGAGGGCAGCATTCGGAACAGTCCATTCCTGTTCCCATGAACCCTCCCTTTGTAGCCAGGCACCTGGCTGGTGCAGGGAGTGACACAGCACACCCTCTAACAAAGGAGTCTTGGCCAAGCTTTGTAGCAAGTTGGACCACACTGCGCCCTCTGCTGGAGCCCTGTGAGGTTACATGGGAGTCACTAGCGGTGCTGTGCTGGCCACTGAGGCTAGAAAAGTATTGAATTGCAACGTGACAAATACTTACAGTCAGCATCCGCACACACAATGCAGGGGTTCTTCCCGCCGAGCTCCAGTGTCACCCGTTTGAGATTACTTTTAGAGGCCGCTTCCTTGATCAGTTTCCCAACCTATGGCATTGGGATTCACAGGGCACAGGTTTATTCCTCAAAAAAAAATTACTTCATTCAAAGGGTCATGAGGTTAACAAGAGCAGGACAGGCTGTGAAACTGCTGGAATTATAAACTAATTCTTCCAGGTTTCCAATCTCTGAATTTTCTAGTTTTTGTCACCGGCTTCAACAAGGTACTGAGCCATCCAAGGTGGGTCTTGCGATTTTAAAAATCACAAATATTTGTCTTAGATATAACTGACATGTAGGGGCCTGGTATTATATAGTTCTTGCCTATGAACGCGGTCCCCCAGAAGTCATTTTTGGGCAGAGTTGGGGCTGCAGGATCAGGCCCCTAATTGGACAATGCAGGAAGTATTGCTAATGGACTACTGTTCTTATAAAAAGTACAATCTATCAGGTGACACCCTGTCATTTATTATGAAGGTACCGGTCATGGCTCCACACTTAATGAGGTGAGTTTTGCACTTAAAGAAGGGATTCGATCTCTGGTATCAGTGTGTGTGTGTGTATAGATAGATAGATAAAAATATTATACACACATACCTACCACCACATGACCGGTTTTACTTTTTGGCTACAGAATGAATTGCCCTAGGAATTTACAATAGTCATATAATTAGGGCTGGTGGTAAAAAATTGTTTCATTTGAATTTTCCCCTAGTATTTTCTGACAAAATGATTTGAAATCAACCACTGATCATCTCAACTCTCAATGTTCCTTTCAGTCCTAGAATCTAGTCTGTCTTCCTGCATAACACAGATCACAAAACTTCCCCCAAACAATTCATGTTTGAACTACAGCTTATCTTTTAGAAAAACATCCAATCTTGATTGAAGAATTTCCAGTGATGGAGAATTCATAGGTTGTTCCAATGGTGAACTACCCTGGCCGTTAAAAATTTAGGCCCTATTTGCTGTCTGAATTGGTCTAGGCTCAAATTCCAGCCACTGGCTTTTGTTTTATCTTGCCTGCTCGACTGAAGAGTCCATTATCAAATGTTTGTTCCCCAAACACGCATTTATAAACTGACCAAGTCACTCCTTAGCCTTCTCTTTGTTCCGCTAAAGAGATTGTGCTCCTTGAATCTACGGTATGTGAAGGGTATATGTCCTCTCAACCTTGTACTCAGTTTTGTGCCTGGGAGAAACACTCAGATCTTGTTGAATCAGAACAGTAAAAAGAACATAACTCTCAATCAGCTGAAGAGTTCATTGCTACACTCAAGTTTCATCTGCTACCTTTATAACCAGAGCAAGATTCCCAAACCAGAAGTGGACCTGGTCCTTCCAATTAGCAGTGCAGAGTCCTCCCATTAGCTTACCTGGCTAGCCCTCAAGATAATAGAAACAAAGCTGTTTTCTGCTGAAAATTAAGATAACTTGCTATATAGCTAACAGGGTAAGAGACATTATTATATGGTAGCTGCTTGATTAGGAATAAATTAAACCCGCTGAAAAGTAGGAAGCTAGAAGGAGACACTGTCAGGTAATTGAAGATTAAAATTGTTATGTCTTTAGGTTAACCTAAAACATATTTTTGTAAATGTTTTCGTTCTCCCCTGCCCCATGTTCATTTTGATTTAAACGTTCGCCTGCAATATTTGCACCCAAATATTAAAGCACGATGCTAATGCACAAGAACCAGGAAGTGAAACTGGTTAGAAATATTTACCTACCTAATCTACTCAATATGGCCTTCATTACTGTATCAGAGCACTTCAATTTTTAAATGCCCACCCCCAACTCAAAGATAAAATACCACACGTAAAATCCTGACTCCAATGAAGTCAGGATTTGACTCCATCCTGACTTGGATGGAGCCAGGATTTCAGCCCGAACTTTAAGAAAGAGGATATCCAGTGGGTTTTCTTGTGATGACAGATTGTTCATTTTTTATAAAAAGTGGATCCATAAGAGGCCAGACTATTTGTTACAAAACCAAGAAAGTTTATAGGATTTTAGAACAGGGAGTGCCTGATTTTGATGATAGAAATAGATTATTCTTAGCCTACAAAAGGTAATTATGTATTTTACATAATTTGTCTAATTATACAGAGTATCAAATAAAGGGCAATACCCAACAGGAGCACGCTGCTGATGCTCCATGCAGTGTCCCCTGTGGGAGAACCAATGGGAATGCACATATGTATGATAAGCCACTAGATGGTGCTGTTAAACACAAAACATTTGGCCTTCAGCAGGTCTTTGAACCTTTAAAATGAGACACCTCTGGTGTTGGAGAAGGCAGCTCAGTGTAATTTATCATAATTATGCAAATTATAAAAAGCAGGCGGTGAATGTCAAAATGGAGGAGTTGGAAGACTGCTCAAGTAGGATGTGAGTACTCAAAGGAAAATGAACAAACAAAGTCCAACACATGGCCTGGTTGAATAGCCAACACACGTAGATCCTTGGCATAAGCACCTTCCTTTATTGGATGCTGCCCTTTGTCATGTAGCAGATGAGGAGATACACATGCTGCATACACATTGCTATAGATTTTCTTGCAATATTACTACAGGGGCAAAGGAGCTAAGCAACCAGTGAAAAAACTGTTCAAAATTTGTTTACAAGTTGGATTCAGCAGCATTCACCGCCCTTGTGTGTTCTCTTTTGGCCTGCCATTACAGCGCTCAGGTTTTGGTAGCTAATATCTAGCTCAAAGCCTCACTGAAAGTGAAATTCAGTAGATAAGTTGGTTGTCAATTTGCTCAGGACTAACAGACAACAAAAAGAGCAAGACAGACCAGCACAACGCTGACCAGGTATACACCTTTCCCTTCCCCCACACTGCTAACCCCAAGCGAGCACTTGGAGAGGTCATTTTCCCTGATCAAAGCAGGCGTACATCTCTATCATGCATGTACAGCCAAAAAGGATTCTTATTGTTGTGATATTTTAATTGTATGTATCTACATTTAAAGGGAGCAGAAAACATTGGGTTGAAGGTGTTTGTACTATACCATTTTTACTATCAGAGGGCCAACTCTTAGTCCCTTTCATAACAAATTTTGTCATTGACTTGGACTCCAATGGGATCAGGATTTGGCCCAGAATGGATATCGCACTGGGTTACATTTTTTTAAGACGCAATAACTAGTGTGTGATTAAAACAGCAGAATTGTTTAATAGGAATATAACATTGTTTTATAGTTCAGCATTGGCCAACAAGCCTGCATATGTCCAACTGGCGAAGGCCAAGTTACTCCAGATAATGTGATTTTTAAATCATTATGATGCGAATGACCGCTCCAGCAATCATCTTGTTTATAGAATAGACACCATTCGTGATGGACCTTCAGAATTTTGGCAAGAATAAGGTTAAAAAAAAGTTAGAGAGATTTTCAAAAGCATTAAATGTTGGCCTAACTGCTTTGACAGAAGTCAGTGGTCATTGACTACAGTGGGAGCAGCGTTAGACCACGGCCCAAAACCTCTGAAAAATTCCACCAAGCAGATTTCTTTTTTCCAAGCACTGAGTATCACTGAAATTACGATGGTCCGAGCTTCCCCAGATGGCACTTCTACCAGAGAAATACTCCTCCTTGCGAAGAGCAGTGTCCAGTAATTCAGTAAGGCTAAAGGCAAGTTTAAGCAGAAAGTGATCACCTACCTCTGTTGATCCAGTGAAAGCTATTTTGTCAATGTTCTGATGGGCAGAAATGGCTGCCCCAGCTGTGGGGCCATACCCTGGCACTATGTTTACCACACCGGGAGGAAAGCCCACCTGAAAATGAAGTTAGAGATTAGACTATAGAAATAGGGCAATAAGAACCATTCCGATTTCCTCCCGGAACTCCAATTTTCTTGGCCTAAAAACCAGGATATACATGTGAACTATGCTCCTGTATGGAGGATTTACCATCACCCAATGGAAATAATTTCTATAGTGTTTTCTATCTGAGCATCTCAAAGAACTTTCTAAATATTAATCAGCTGAGCCTCTCAATGCCCCAGCAAGTTAACCAACCCTCCTCCCCAATCCCACAAACGCTTTACGTACGTGCACGACTTCTCACATAAGGGGTCACATTGAAACCAGAATCAGGGCCCGAATGTTCATCAAACCCCAAAGTATGCTTAGTACTTTTTAAGAACGAGGCATGCAGCACACAAATGTTTGAAAATCAAAGGCAAACGGACAATTTGCCAGATTTAGAATGGTTTTCATGACCTTTTCCAGCACTCACTTTTCAGAGGGGTAGCCGTGTTAGTCTGTATCAGCAAAAACAACAAGGAGTCCTTGTGGCACCTTAGAGACCAACAAATTTATTTGGGCATAAGCTTTTGTGGGCTATGAAAGCTTATGCCCAAATAAATTCGTTAGTCTCTAAGATGCTACAAGGACTCCTCCTTTTTCCAGCACTGTAGCTGCTTGCTACTTACTGGATTGGACATGTTGAAAAGAAGAGCCACTCTTAAGTGCCTGGAATCACCAGGAGAGAATTATTGGAGGATTTGCATTTCACAGCTCTGCTGTTATAACAAAAAAGTCTTCTGGCCAAATTTAGCCTTCAGCCACAGCTATACAACCCTAGTCAATGGATGACTAAAGGCAAAATTTGGCCCTTTAAAGTTTGTTTTGAGCAGAAAGATCCCGAGGTTGCCTCTTGTGGTTCTTCAGAGGCCAGGAGGATTAAGATGCCAGTAAGACACCACTAGAGGATGTGTTTTTTTCCCCACTAGCTCCAGGAGAGCAGATGGTAAGAGACTTGCACCAGTTTTCACCACATTTATAATGTATTAACCTATGACAGCCATTTCGTGTGTTCTGGCACAAGGACAATAGGCAAAACTCTGGTAAAATTCTAGTGAAATGCAAGCCAAAGTCTTGGCCCAGCTGATCTGTTTATTGCTCCCTGAAACGTGGGCTGCTGCAAAGAGGTGTATTTCTAGGCTGGCCAGTCTCCATTTCTGACTGGGAAGTGCAGGCACACAACCTGCTTTCCTAGTATCCCATGAGTCGATTGTTATTCAGCTCCCTTCATTTCTTGTGGATTAGTACACACGTTCATGAGGCTAATAATTTGTGTAACTTACATGAGATTCTTTTTAAATGCATCTGATACAGATTTAAAAAAAGGGAACAAGGTTTGGTTATAAATTGCCTTGGAAAATTCTACTTTCTTCTGGGTAAGGTTTTAGGGTTTTGATGGTTGTCTAGCTTGCCTGTTCCAGCTTGGGGGAGGGGAAGGGGGAGACAAAGGATGTTCAACACTTTGCTGCTCACTCTGCCGGGAACATTGGTTTAAACTCCTGGGTATTTGCTAAACCACTTTAAAAAAAAAAAAAGAACATTGAGTAAGAGATGCGTGTGGCCATATAAGCATTGTCTTTGGGACTGCCTATGGCAACAATTCAGCAAAGCACATAAGAACACGTATAACTTTAGATCTGTGTTTAAGTGACATTGACTTTAATAGGACAACTGACTTGTTTAGGCTAGGCTGTGCAAAATTGAGGCCCATGTGAGTAAAGGCTGCAGGACTAGGCCATCAGGAGGGAGGGATGGATGGATGACGGAAGGATGAGTTGGTGGCTTCCATGGAGGGGGGAGCACATTCATCCTTGGCTTAACTGCATTGACGTCAGTGGGTTTGCACCAGGGGTGAAGTCAACTCCCTGGTTTAGGAAGATTTAGCCCATACATCTGAAATGTATTTTCCTGGGAGGGTCTTGGATCCTGATCTTTCAGCCAAGAACTGTGGGGGCATGTGACTGCACCTGCATTAATTTTCCATGCAGGATTAAGGCCCTGGGTCATAACCCCTATGCTCGGTATGGGGACTAGATCTTCGTTCTCTGTTAAGCACCAGGCACACTTTCATAAGTCAATCGTAATAAAACGGTCACAGTGATGTAATGCAATTTCTGTGCATGAAGCAGCTGCAGGATCCGGTCCCATAATCTAAGAGCCAAATTCTGCCACCTGTACTTGTGCCAAGCAGTATCATACTTTGTGATCAGTCCCATAAATTGTAGGACAATTCCACTAACATGAATAAGGGGGGCAGAATTTAGCTCCAAATAGTCTCATTAAACATATTAGAAAAGAGAAAAAACATGACATACCTGATGATTTAGGCATTGTCTCAGCAAGATACTTAAACACGTGCCCAACTTTAAGCATGTGACTAGCCTGATCCCATTGAAGTAACCGGGATTACTTGCATGCTTAACACTGGACACTTGCATAAGTACCTTGGTGGATTAGGGCATTCATACACAGAGATCAAGAGATAAAGGTTTGAAAGAAAAAGAGGAGGTTGTTTCTAAGTCTGGCATTGAACAGAGCTGGCAGCAACATCTTTGGGAGCTGACAATGGCTACGGCTGCCTTTTCAACTGGACCCGCTGCCTATGAGAAACAATAACTTGGAAAAACTCCTTGAATGTGCTGTTAAGATTTCTTACCTCCTTGACTAAGGAACCAATGTAGAGGGAAGTGAGGGGTGTCTGCTCAGCTGGTTTAATAACCAGTGTGTTCCCGCAGCACAGTGCTGGTGCCATCTTCCAAACAAGCATGAGCAATGGAAAGTTCCACTGAAAGAGAGTATAAAGTTGATCAAATTAGTGCCAGTCAGCTCCCTATTGAGCTCTGTGCAGTATTCCCCTTTGCTTTCGTAGAAAATAAAAGGTCTAGGAAGAGATCCACCATTACAAAGGACTCATGACCGTGTATAGCGCCTGGGTGGGTTACACAGGTATCGCCTTTGAAAAAAAGTTTAGAGTACAAATTGCACCAGTCATGAACGACAGGTTCCCTTACTCAGACAGCTATGGAAGAAGTTTTACTGAGCTGGAGATCAGTGAAGCACACAGAGACTTTATGAGCTGTAGTTAGGACAGACAAATAGAATTGAAATATTAAAATCAATATACATACGTACAAGTACCATAGTTTCCTGCATTGTACATACTTGCAGCCTTACATTGTGCATAGTCACAGCCTATGGAGGCCATTAGAAGTGAAGCTGGAAAGAAACGTAACTGGAGAAACTCATAAGTGGAGATGTCATTCTGGGCTGCCACCTACTTTGTCGCTCCAATGTCCCAACTAAAAGTTGGATTTACACCTCATTTTATACCTCAGACCTCCTTGCCCTGCACACCCACACACCAGAGGACCATAATTGACTGAATAGCGGCCCCATGTCCATGGATGGCTGTCCAGGAAACCACAATTGGAGTTCCGATTTGCTGACATGCAGCAATACATTTCCCAATCTTCCCAGTACGTTAATGAGGTTAACCTCATGGCTACACATTAAAAATCTCCAAATAATTCCATTGGGTTTGTTCTTCTGTGGTTAGTTTGTTTATTACAAAGCACTTATTACTTAAATTTTATAACCCTAGATTAAGCACTTATTCTTGTGCTAATTTATCGCTTACTCTTAGGCCTCAACTAAAACATTGTGTCCAGTTCTGGGCCCCACATTTCAGGAAAGATGTGGACAAATTGAAGAAAGTCCAGAGAAGAGCAACAAAAATGATTGAAGGTCTAGAAAACATGACCTATGAGGGAAGATTGAAAAAACTGGGTTTGTTTAGAGAAGACCAAGAGGGGACATGATAACCGTTTTCAAATACATAAAAAATTGTTACAAGGAAGAGGGAGAAAATTGTTCCTCTTAACCTCTGAGGATAGGACAAGAAGCAACGGGCTTAAATTGCAGCAAGGGCAGTTTAGGTTGGACATTAGGAAAAACTTCCTAAGTGTCAGGGTGGTTAAGCACTAGAATAAATTGCTCAGGGAGGTTGTGGAATCTCCATCATTGGAGATTTTTAAGAGCAGGTTGGACAAACACCTGTCAGGGATGGTCTAGATAATACTTAGTCCTGCCGTGAGTGGAGGGGGCTGGACTAGACTTCGAGATCCCTTCCAGTCCTATGATTCTATAACTGTTAGGCCTCTGCTAACTACCTGCTACTTAAGATAACAATACTTAAAATTAACAACTTACTGAGCCTCAACTTATTGCAAAGCCTATCTCAAATATTAATATTTTATGTTTCTCTATTAGCATTACAGCCCTAATAGCTTTCATTTTACTATCTTAAAGCATTTTAGTAAATCTTAGCATATATCATTTGATCTTGCACTCTAAGATCAGATCAATGGTTACAGGTCAACAGAAACACTTCTTCCAAGAGATTATGGACTTTCCTTGGAATCAAAATATCATTGGCAGCTGTTAATTAAATTCTACTCTGAGCTGCAAAGTGTTGTCCATAACACAACTCCATTCTTCCCAAGAACCTCAGATCTTACTTTGCAGAGATTTTCAGCTGTTAGCTGAGCTGCTGAGAAAGACTGGCCCTGTGTCTGAAATCAGCTCCTCTGCTGCCCATCTGTGATGCTGTGTAATGTCACAGATGGACAGTGTGCAAATGTGATAGTTCTATGGAACGAAGCTGTTTATTCCAATAATCTTGTCCCCCGCGGCCGCTGCAGTGCAAATCCAAACACAGCACTGTTAAAACGAAGCCTGAAGATGAAAGGACAGGCCTAGTATAATCCCCCCTGCAGAGTCAAATACTACGAACAGAAGTAGTAAGTTTCACCTTTAAAATGCAAGTTATGTTAATAATCTAAGGAGTAGTTACCAATCCTGGTAGGGTATTTTCAGTTTCAGCATGATCCAAACTCATCCCTCGTTAGACGCTAGTGAAATCAAGGGAATTGCACACCAGAATTGATAGTGGCCTCGGTTTTTTATTAGGACAATGTCCTTAAAGTGGAACACTATGCCTCAGGGTGCACATAGTCATATCAGCCTGGATTAGGGTTACATTTGCAATTTAAGACCAATATTTATGTATAATTCCCATAGATTAAATAGCAACAAGATAGATACAATCTTGAGATAGCATCCACTCAGTTCTCCCTGCCCCCCATGATATGGTGGCTTTCCAAATCTCCTGCCTGAAAATAGCCACAAGGGGCGTAAATCCACAAAAGCATCAGCCAACAGTCAGATCCGTTTGGAGGATGGAAATAAAGGCATTTAAATCAGTGGTCAATGCAAGCTGGAGCTTGCTAAGTGTATGAACAGGATTGTAAGATGGGGTTGGCTGCGGTGGCAGGGAACTGGATTCGATGACCCAAGAGGGCCTTTTCAGTCTTATGTCCCTAATGCAAAACGCTTGAGAGTCTCAACTTCATTGGACTCAAGTCACTCAAATGCAACTCATTCCCAAAATGACAATACTAGGTTACTTCAACCAGCAAGGCTCTGTAAAACAGAGTGAGACAGCTTTCATTCCCAAGCCAAACTCTGTCTCCGCATGTCGATCTATCATCTACAGGACACTCTCCTATTCCATCTCCCACTCACTCTGCAGTCACCTCTCTCAGGGAAAAATAAATAGACCATTCAACTCCAAGATCTAGGTCAGAAGTCAGTCACGAGGGACCCAATCCTGTTCCTACTGAAGTTAGTAGCAAAAACTTCAATTGATATTAATGCAAACTGGGTCAGGATCAAAGTCTCCAGCATCCCAGCAAAAATACTGAGTTGTTTTAGTCTCTGGTATAGTCCAGTTCACCCTCCACAACACTGGCCCGAGATCTTCCTCTGACTTTCCCCAACAGACTCCCACAGCAAAGTAGCTCACACACTACTCTTTGCCTCTAACACAGATGTTCAAAGCACTTTACAACCATTATGGCTCCTCTACAAAAAGTCTGGCTGCCTATTTTTTCTTGCTGAAGAACTGAGGAATTTTAAGAACTAGCCAGAGTTTCTCACCATCAGAAACAAACCCACCAGGGAAAGGAAAATGGTATTGATCAGCTATAAAACAAACAATGGGAACAAGGAAACAAGCTAATAAATGACAATTTAAAAACGAAACAAACCACAATGTCTCGGAGCCAGTCAACAACCGTAACGGTCAGGACAACTAGCTTGCAATCACCCAATAAGAAAAGGATCAAGAAGTAAGAATAGCAGATGATCATGGATGGGTCACTGGTGACTCTTATGTAAGTAAGTGCCATATGGGAGACTGACTCTTGATCTTGAGACCCAGCCTTCTGTGCCAAAGAGCCGTTTAGAACGCCCTAGGCCAATTCCTTCTGAGGAGTCAAGAAACATCATCAACAGGCTCCAAAGGGAATGCCCTCCAGTCCACCCTTCTCATCTAGGAAGGTGTGATGGGGCGCACTTGTCCCGCACTGGTACTGCGAGGGTTAACTCCACTCTCTGGGCCAAGGAGGCCACGCCCCCGCAGCCCTGCTGGGCATGCTCCAGTTGGAGAGTAGGTATAAAAGGGAGCAGCTCATCTCATTCAGGGCTGACCACCAAAGAGAGAGGATGCACGCTGCAAGCTCCAGCCCAGAACCGCAGAAGTCCCAGACAGTGGAAGCCAGGGATGCTGAGACTCCGGAGGATGCCCAGTGAGTGGAGGAGTTGTTGGGAGCCGCACTGACCGAGTAGCCCAGAGACCATGGCAACGCCGGGACCACGGCATCAGGAACCGGGTAGGAAGTAGCTCAGGGAGACTAGTTCTGTTGCCAAGTGGAGTCAGCGTATTTCGGACGGATTCCCCATTGACCTGGTGGCAGGCATACTTGCCACTGACAGGGCCCTGAGCTGCGACCTGGTGAAGCAGGGAGAGCCTGGGCCCCCCCCACCAGGCTGCTACCCACCCTGGGGTGGTGGCCCACTCCCCTGACAGGCCACTAGGTCACGTAGCCCCACGGAAGGGGCAGTTATACTGACTCTGGCCACTAGGCCCTGCGTCCCCGAGAGAGGGCGACCTTGCTGACACTGACCGCTAGGCCACACAGCCCTGAGTGACGGTGGCTCTACTGACTCTTGCCGCTAGGCCATACCACCTCGCTGAGCCAGGAGGCCACACGGACTCTGATGACCACTAGGCGATATACCCCAGTTGAACTGGGAAGCCATAGTGACTCGGGCCATTGGGTCCCACAGCCCTGTGGGAAGGGGCCATCACCCTGACTCTGGCCATTGGGCCACACAACCTTGAGAGCGCGCGTGGCCATATTGACTTTTACCGTTAGTCCACACAACCCCAAGACAACGGGTGGTCGTAAGGACATGACAACGGGGAAGTAATTACCCTGCCCCAAGAGGGCATGGGGTGCACTTGCCCTGCAACAGAGGGCAATGGCTGCAATGCTATGGGGGGCATGCATATACATTTTTGTAAATAGAGGGGACTCTCAGGGTAGGAGCACCTCGGCTAAAAACATTAGATAGTCTTCTACTTACCGGGGTTATAGCCCCACAGACCCCCATCGGTTCATGCATGGTGAAACAGACAACATTTTCATCTGCAAAACAAAAACGTGTAAGGGATCAAAGCTAATATTGCGACATACCTGCATGTACTGCCCTTGTCGGGGGTTGAATAGTGGAAACAATATAAAATGATTATATAAATAAAACCAGTGAGGCAGAATTAATATAAACTAGTTAAATGAGGTGAAACTAATCTGAGAAGATTGTGGAGTCACCCATTCTATCCCACACCCAGGCGGGGTGCTCTTCGAAAGGACGAAAATGATCTGATAGGAAACATCTATCCCAGAACAATTCAGATCTTCTGCTATATACAGAGGGCCAAGTGCTGCTCTAATTCAGACTGATATAACCCTTCGAAATCCACAGACTTTCATCACATCAATTCCACTGGGTCAGTTCCTCTCTTACACTTGCTTCTGCTGCTCAGACACGTTCAGTTGGTGTAATTCTTCATTTCAGTGAAGAATAAAAGGAAAATGAAACGCTTTTATGATTTTTTAGTTTTGATGGGGGTGGGGGGGGGGGAACAAACAGGTTTATTTCCCAGGGAAAAATTCAAAGTTTGGTGACAAATTCCCACAAGAAATATTTAAATAACAAAACAAAAAATATTTCAATTTGATTCAAAAATCAAGTTTTGTTTTGATTCAATTAGCATCAAACATTGTGTTTCTGATAATAGAAACAAAAAATATTTTAGTGTTAATTTCCTGTCAAAAGATTTAATAAAACCATTTGCCCATTAGAAATGTTGCTTTCTATGAAGCTCCATTTTGGGGGGGAGGGGGGGAACCTCTAGTTATTACGCACTTTGGAAGCGATCTCAAACAAGACAGAGCCAGTCTCCATAGAGAGCAGATCTGCAAATTAAAGCTTGGGTGACAGAAATATCTGATTTGCCATAGGCTTGGACTCTGCTACTCTTAAATCAATGCTGACTGGTGGAGGGCGGAGGGGGTGGGAGCAAGTGCATTCCTTCAGCGCTACCAGAAGGAGCCGCTCTTTAACCTTCGTCTCTGGTGCTCTTTCCTTCATGGACCACCAGCTATCACGAGGGCAAAGGAAAGGGGCAGGCTGCCGACTTTCAATTTGCTGTTCACTCACTTCGTGCAAACACCCTTCTTATCTTAGGCAAACCACCTGTCATTTCCCAGGGCCACACCTGTGCTCACACATGAGCCGATAGATTCTTCCCTCAGTTACTCACACTAAATCCACTGGTGTGGGTGGAAGCACAGAATTGTGCACAACCCCTGGCAGAGGAGTTTAAAAAAAAATGCTGCAAGTGTTTAGAAATAAATTAAATACCCCTACAAACTAGAGCTTGACCAAACCCCCAGGAACTGAATGTCTGCCACGTACTTTGATTACCGACAGATCTGGCCTCTCTCCAATAAACCTAATTTAATTAACAACAAAGAAGGTACTCAAAAATATCCTTTGAACTTTGATTTCCAATGCACTCTTACTAACAGTGAAACCTTTAGTTTCAGTGAAACTGGATGCACAATAACCAGGGATAGAATTCTCATAAGTCTATAGGGCAGTTCCAAAACTCTCAGGGAGATACATAATCTTCTGTTACACTCTATGGCTTTTCCATAAGGGATAAAGTAATTTGGGGGGTGGGAGGGAGGGATGATTTTTTCAGAAGGGAAACTCCCTAAACTGGTTCTGTCTCAATGTACTTGATATCAGACTGAAGGAGCTTTTAAATGTGAACATGGAAGGGTTCAACTTACCCACTGGGATAGTTCTGCCTTGGATTTTATCAGCCCACCCAGCATAATATCTAAGTGTCTTTATACAGCCTTCCAAGTCAATGAAGAAGGCATGAAGAAAAGGTTTCCCTGTGTCCATTGTTTCCAAGGTCTGAAACAACAAATCACATGCATGGTTATATACTGCTCAATATTTATGGGGGGGTTGTTGTTTTTACAGATTCTAGACAAAAAATTCTCTTCTGCAATCTACAAGGTTTATCTTTCTCCCACCCTGTACAATGGAGAGGGGTGAACGAGAAGCTGGATATGAGTCAACAGTGTGCCCTTGTTACCAAGAAGGCTGACGGCATATTGGGCTGCATTAGTAGGAGCATTGCCAGCAGATGGAGGGAAGTGATTATTCCCCTCTATTCGGCACTGGTGAGACCATAGCCACAGTACTGTGTCCAGTTTTGGCCCCCCCCCCCCACTACAGAAAGGATGTGGACAAATTGGAGAGCATCCAGCGGAGGGCAACAAAAGTTATTAGGGGACTGGGGTACATGATTTATGAGGAGAGGCTGAGAGAACTGAGCTTATTTAGTCTGCAGAAGAGAAGAGTGTGTGTGTGGGGAGTGGGTGGGGGGGATTTGATAGCAGCCTTCAACTACCTGAAGGGGGGTTCCAAAGAGGAAGGAGCTCGGCTGTTCTCAGTGGTACCAGATGACAGGACAAGGAGCAATGGTCTCAAGTTGCAGTGGGGGAGGTTTAGGTTGGATATTAGGAAACACTATTTCACTAGGAGGGTGAGGAAGCGCTGGAATGGGTTCCCTAGGTGGAATCTCCATCCTTAAAGGTTTTTAAGACCCGGCTTGACAAAGTCCTGGCTGGGATGATTTTGTTGGGATTTGTCCTGCTTTGAGCAGGGGGTTGGACTAGAGGACCTCCTGAGGTCTCTTCTAACCCTAATCTTCTATGATACTCTGATAGAAAAAGCTTTCTTTGTCCACTGGATGATGGAAAATGCATTTGGAGAGCACGGGCCTTTAGTAAAGTAATCTCTTTGGGCCCAAATCTGCTCTCACACTGGTGCAAACCAGGGATATCTCCAAGGAGGTCAATGGAGTTATAGCTTGGACCAGTTTTATACCAGCATGTCAGAATCTGGCTCCTCCTCTTTTTGCAGTTCCAAGTTCCAGTGACCCTGTTCCTCTCCTCTAGTCATGCAAGCTGGACAATAATGGGAAAGAACCCGCATAAAGGAGGCACTACTCCTTGGTTGAATTAAATGTGTGAACAAAGATGAAATTGTACACTGCCACCCTTCAGAACCTTTGAGGTCCAAACAGGATCTGAATAGACTTCTTCACAGGGAATAGGATTCTTATCCAGCTGGAGTAGTGCCTGCTAAAATTATTGTACACGCAGTGCCCCGATTTCTAAAAATAAACAGACAAAACTGTCATGGGAATGACTGAGAAAGCCATACCGGGGCTGGCAGGTTTGTTTATGGATCAAGAAGATTCTCTTAATTTTCAATTTTTGACCTGAATTTAAACTTAGCGAGTGGTGCTTCGATCACACAGCCTTTTGCAGGCAAGATCTGGCCATGAAAATGGGCAGAAACATTTACGTTTCCAGTAGTGTTGGAACTGAGCCACATGGATGCAGACCTGCATTTTTCCTAAGTCCAGGGATGTTCAGAACTGGGGTTTTGGTTGTGCTCATTCTTGAGATTTGAGTCAACCATGAAGGCAGGTCAATGAGGTTGCCCCAGGAAAAGCCTCAACTCGCCACAGCAAGTTGTCACATCCTTAACTTGAAGCCCCCGGCTAAGCCCATCCCTATTCACCGCAGCACTTAAGTATGTGCTTAATTTTTTTAAGCACGTGCTTAAATCCCAATGGCCACAATGAGACTTAAGCATGTTCTGAAGTGTAGTGCTAGGTAGGGGTGGATTTCAGCTTGTGCTTAAAGCTAAGCACAAGCTCAAGCGTTGTTTTGAATCAGGGCCAATATGAACACACAATTTGGCCTGAGTACAGATACAAGCCCTCCTGGAGTTCAGGGATGTCCGATATGTTTTTAGTTTAGCCCCACATCCAAGTTAGAGAAGAGAGAGTCCCACAGAAATCAATGGAAGTCTCTCCACTGACTTTATCAGGTTGTGGAACAGGTCGTCCTTCCCTTGGACTGACCATGAGGCTTCATTCTTCAAGACCAAGATGTTGTTGCAAAATGATATTTTCCCTTTTTGGTGTAAACAAGAGTGTGTCCAAATTCACACAGCATCACATCCTACTTGAAGTTTCATTTTGCAAGCAGCATGTTCATGAAAAGTATGCCCAATGATACATTTTAAGTCCTGAACTAAAAGCAGTAGGAAGCAGTTGCTTCCCCCCACCCCTGCCTTTTACTCTTGGGAGGTGGGGGGAAGTAACTTGCAAATTGACAAGAAAAGACTCCATGACAGCATCACAAGAACGAAGACCGAAAAAGTGGAGAAGGGAAATTTTAACAGTTTAAAAGAACTGTTTGTATTAACACCCGTTTAATATCAATGGCCAGTCAACGTTTTGGAGACAGTTAAGTGTGAGCGTTAACAGACATCCGCTGAAATCCTGTCAAACCCTTTGGCAAAAAAAAAGACAACCAGACAGGACATTCCTGATACTGAAGGTTAAAAGCAAGCAGAAAAATTTGTCCATTGGAAAGAAAAAGGGGCACAAGGCCAACTTAAAAAATGATGTTGGTTACTGAGATCAAACATTCTAATTTCTGGGGGAAATTTGAGCCAGAACTTTGTGGCTTAGGCCCAAAGTTAATTTTTGCTTTTTTTTAAAAAGATGACAGATGTCCAAATGAACTAGTGTCTCTCCTCCTGGTCCCAGCTTGCCCATATCACACAGCCATCAAAGTCTAGCATCACTCACCTCTCTATCGGGCAGAGTCAGGACTGAACTGCATGGACCAAGCTTCTCGGGGGAACCAGATTCGGAAGAGGGAGGAGTTGCAATACACAATGCAGGTGCCTTGGTTCTGTGAGCAGTCAAGTCACAGTGGAATAATTTTTATGAAGAGCCAGAGGCACAGAGGGATGTTTTGTGAACAGGGCCAGCTCCAGCTTTTTTGCCGCCCCAAGTGGCGAAGCCAAAAATAAATAAATATTTTTTTAAAAAGCCACGACCGGCGGCACTTCAGCAGCAGCTCTACCGCCACCGCTTCATTCTTCGGCAGCGGGTCCTTCCCTCTGAGAGGGAGTGAGGGACCCGCCGCCGAAGACCCAGACATGCCGCCCCTTTCCATTGGTTGCCCCAAGCACCTTCTTCCTTTGCTGGTGCCTGGAGCCGGCCCTGTTTGTGTGAAGATTTTGAGCTATTCACACATCTTTCTGCCATTTATTTCAATTGCTATAAGGAAGTTACATCCTGTAAACATTCCATTTGATGTTGTTTACTGCAAATCAGTCGTGTTGTTTTATTGTTGCCATTGTCACTTGTCCCCTTTAATGTTCTGATAAGTAGAACACCCAAGTCAGGGATGGCACAGACCTATTTAGGTCATCCTTTGCCAATGCCAGATTGTTCCCAACTCTGTATCTTTGTTATTCTCTTCAGATGTTTCTTTCATTGAATTCCACGGACACGATTCTTTATTTAACATAGTGATTATAGAACCTTTTAGCCTTAGCCGGTTGTCTTTGCCTGAAAGTTTTAAACAGGGTGGGGGTTATTTGCTCATTTTGTTCTAGGACTTTATTTATTTAAATATTTATTTAATACCATAGGTAAGAATGTTAACTTCAAGTAAGGATATGGTCTTGTTTAAAAAAATAAAATAAATAAAAAAACCCTCAGTAACTCAAAGCTAACACACGACACGGACATCTCCAATGCATGACCTAAACTCTCTTAAACCAGAGAGAGTTGACTTCACCCCGGCACCAATGCAGTTAGCCAAGGATGAATATGACCACCCATGGGTGCCACCATCTCCCATGAATCCACTCTGTGGATGCAGGCCCTGATGGCCCCATCCTGCAGCCTTTACTCACGTCGGCCTCAGTTTTGCCCAGCCTAGTCTAAACAAGTCAGTTGCCCTGTTGAAGTCAATGTCACTGAAGCACCTGTCTAAAGTTATATGTGCTTTGCCGAATTGCAACAGACTGCTGAACGATCGCCTCAGAGGCAGTCCCAAAGACAATGTTTATATGGTGCCACTGCTCAATCTCTCTTAAAAAAAAATTGGTTTAGCACAGAACACCTAGTAGTTTAAAATCAGTGTTCCCCGCAGAGTGAGTATAAGCAGCATTAAGTGTTGAGCATCCTTTATCCTCCTACCCCCCCACGCTGGAACAGGCAAGCTAGACACCCATCAACTGTATTTCACCAAGTGGACAAGACCAGGCGGGGCTAGGGGAGGGTAAACAAACCAGCCCCACGGCAAAAAGAAAGGAGTTAAGAAGGTGAGGCTTTGCCGCTGTCGTTCCCCGACGGCTCAAACTCATTGACTGGGCAAGGGTTCCTAGCCTCCCATTGCGTGGGACATGGAGGTCAAACAGGGGAGGAGAGGCAGCTTTTCCAAGTCAGCACTCAGCCAGGGGCTTTACCCTCTCATTGTGTGTGGGCATGGGGGAGGGAGGGCAGAGAGAGGGGGGGGAGCGCAAAGCACTATTCAAGTTTGAAGAGGGAGGTAGGCTTCACCTGCAATGCTAAGGTCTAGGGCGACCTCATCCAGAACACTGAAAAGAACGATGGATTTGGAATTTTTCCCTTTAATGAGGGAGAGATGCCCTTAAACAGCTCTCTCAAAATCAGTGACTTTTTTTTATTAATTATTATTATTATTATTAAAGTCACTCTATCCAAATGTTACTAAACCAAGCTGGGAGCTTGGGAAACGAAAGCCTCCCTGAAGATGAGATTCCCCTTTAAAATAAACTAAACACAAGCTACAAACAGCCCCAGATCTCCAGGGCAGCCAGAGGGACAGAATTAAGTAGTCAGTCAATTGCTTTTGGTTTATTATCACTCCCCCACCACGTTTCACTTACCGCCAAAATGACTCGGTCTCGCTCGATGAGATCGGCTAGTTTGTGGAGAAGCCTTCCTCTGCTGAAGGCATCCATTTGTCTCCATAGAGATCCTCTCTGGAATGCTGCTTTCGCTGCCTCTACTGCCTTATCTATGTCGGGCTAAAGCAACCAAACACACAAAATATTCAGGTGAGAGAGAGAGACACAAATTGCATAGTGCTATGAACAGCTACCAAGCAGGTTGCTTCCTATGCTGTGTCCTGCAGAGCCTGCCTACTGTAATATTGAATCATCTGCTAAAAGAGTCTCCTGGTTTGCTGCTGAACATAGGTCAGATCTTGCAAGATTCCAAGCGGCTTCAGACTCTGGTAGGATTTGACCTTGCCGGATAGGAACCTAAATTCAAATTTTGCAGAGCTGATAAGATCTTTCAGGGTGAGTCATTAAGTTTATGGAATTGGACCAGGCTTCACTCACAGGATAAAAATTAGACACACACACACACACACACACACACACGATATAACAACCAGATATAACACAAATTCAGATATAACATGGTAAAGCAGCGCTCCCGGGGGGCGGGGCTGCTCACTCCGGCGGATCAAAGCAAGTTCAATATAACACATTTTCACCTATAACGTGGTAAGATTTTTTGGCTCCCGAGGACAGCATTATATCGAGGTAGCGGGGTGTGTGTGTGTGTGTGTGTGTATATATGTATATTACTGAACATTCAAACTGTTACTAAAACTGGGTTGTTCCTTTAAAACAGCAAACATCCCTCCTGAAAAGCAGGACTACCTCTCTGCAAAGGACGGCCGAGACTCAGGAGCGGAGTATTTATAAGGCTAGTCCTGCCCTGGCTAGTGTAGGAAGAAGGAACAGAGATGCTGCCTGGTACATACTCTGCAAAAGGAGTCCTGCCAGCCAAAGCAAAAGTCCTCTGGGTGGTGGGATGGCCATTAGCGTGTCTCTGAGTGGGAGCATTGTGTGTCCCTCCCTCCTGTTGGGTAGCACTTGCAGTTGATTGCAACATACTTGCTAGCCAGCTGGGAGGCTAGATGTGCTCCCTAATCTGAAGACCACATCCTCTCAGGCTCCTGAGAACTACATAAAGATCTTGTTCATTTCCTTTCATGGGACCACGGTTGGGGAAAGGCCCCCTTCCTGCATTGACTACCCGGTGTGCTAGCATCACAAAAGAAGTGACTTCGCCCTCATCAGCTTTGCAATTTTCCACTGAGATCATCATCATTACTAACAATCCAGACCTTCCCAGTAGTCACGCTAGGAGCAATCTTACAGATCACACCATTACTGTGGACCACGACTGTTCTCCAAAACCGGGCATGTGGGCGGCTCTGTGGTTAGCTATGTTCATTCCTACTCACTGCACTCCCAGATACCATACATGGTTTGGTATTTTGTAGAGTCATTAGGTATGCAAGCAGGAGAACTTCCCCAAAATACCTCAATGGAAACTCAACTACCCCTCACATTAAGCATCTGAGTTCAAACCACCAAAGACGAGGAAATTCTTAGGTAAGGCTGAAATTCCATTCTTAATCCACCCTATGATGACTAGGCACAAAAGGGGTCAGAACTGTGCGTTACAGTACACAGATGTTGCAATCCGGAGGCACCATGCGTGACATAAGGACAGAGTCATAGCTGTCAAGGTGCCAAGGACAAAACGTGGGACAAAAAGGAGGGACACGCAAGACCTAACAATTCACGGAGTTTCAATCTGTGTGAGATTTATTTAGTATTGCACACACAAAACTACCTCAAAAGAGAGTTAGGGTTGCAAAGTCAAATGCTAAAAGGTTAGGAAATGCTAGAATTAAAGTTGCCTGTGAAACCTTAATTCAGCCCCCTTGTGTGTCTGTGATTGTGATACAGTCTCTAATTACGTGATCACAGACTACTTTTTCCACAGGACCCTTATGGTTCTTGTCCCCTCTCTTCCCCCCTGTCCTCTACTCAAACTCACAGGTCCAGTTCATCACCTCTGCATTTGAGTCAGGCCCCTTCCTCCTCCTCCCTGCCAGGGCACCAGGAGGTGGAACACGGAGTCCATAAGGAAGACAGTATCAGAGGGGTAGCCGTGTTAGTCTGAATCTGTAAAAAGCAACAGAGGGTCCTGTGGCACCTTTGAGACTAACAGAAGTACTGGGAGCATAAGCTTTCGTGGGTAAGAACCTCACTTCTTCAGATGCAAGACAGTTTCCTAACTATTCCCGAGCCCAGTGCCACAGCAGCCCAGAGGAGCAACGGCAGAGAAAGTCCTGGTCAGCTCCAGGCTCTGTGGGGATAGCACACATGCACTACGGTTAGTAGGTGATGTAGGTGCAGAGAGGGGATAGAGCATGCCCAGTGCAGATGGAATTGCCAGGGAATTCTGATAAGTCTCTACTGAGCACGTGCAAACAGATGGGCAAGTCTTTGAACACTTAAGTCAAATTTGGGCATCTCCATAGGAACAGCAACATGCCTGAGACCAAGGTGCCCCCCCCCGCAAATGTCAAGTCCCTGTTTCAAAGCACGGAGGCACTAGAGCTTCTCAATGAAGCAGTTCGACGAATTTTGTTAAAATGGGCAAAAAACAATGTATTCTCCTCTCTACTCTCTCTCTTATAAATGGCTGAATCATTTCCCCTGAAATATCCCAAAAATATTCAGGCTGAGACAGACATTCAGCATGGAAAGTTTCAGCCCAAACAGTCAACGTTGGACAAAGTTATAAGCAACTGAAAACGGGGCAGAGGGATTACAACGGGAAACGTTGGGCCACCTTAACTACAGCACCACCAGCTCTGCCCATAGTAAGTAACCCCGTCTATAACTGCTTCTTCTAATCTCAATCCATCCCTAAAATACAAGGGTGGCTGGCATGGATGGCAACAGACACCCTTAAGAATCACAAGTACGGGAAAGGCCGACTCCTCTGGCCTAGCTGTGACGCATACAGCCAGCGCATAGCATTGCAGGTTTTCCACTCCAAGGCAGAACTCAGCCATGTGCAGAAAGACAAAAAGCCAGGCACCCCTGCAGCACTTGAAATTCACTCCTGTGCACAGGACTATGCCAACCACAGGGAAACATGGAGAATCTTTTCTGTGATCGCACTGGAGGCAAACTGGGACAGGTTGAGTATTTTACATGGAACTGGTCTGCCAGGTCAGGATGCAGAGTTCCGGGGCTGGTAGGATGGGTAACAGCCCTGCAAGCAGCACAATGGCACAGCCTTAACATTAGTCAAATCAGTTCTTCCCATGCCTGATATCAACCCGACAGACGTTAACACTCAGCCCTTATTTGTAGGCCAATGAAAACTCCAGCAGAGCGTCACTGCCAGCACCTCTTTCCCACCCAGGATTTCCCTCTGACTGCAGGTGACTGCAAACAATTCCTTTTTAATTTTGTAACTAAAGAAAAACAAAACCTTTGCTCCCCAGCGAATAACGAGTTGGCCACGTTTCAGCCCCAAAGCCAACTGTCATCGCCAAATTATTAGTTGCCAAATTCCCATCCCTCATGCACAGCCTAAGCAAACAGGCATCTCAAGGGGGACTTACCCTGAGGGAAATGGAATCCAGCCCCCACAATCTAGAGTCAGGGTGAGCAGCAGCCACACGGCAGCTTCTGTAGTGACAGAACCTGCAGCCCCCCAAGAGTTTTGGCCACCGCAGCTGCATAGCTCCTGTCTCCTCAAGCCGCGCCACTGAGAATGCCCCAGAGCCTGGCTCCACAGCGGTCTTCATTTACGAACCTAAGTCTGCCTGCATGAAACACCTGGAGATCTAGGATGGGGGGGATTAAACTGGGGCTGGGTTCATCTCAGGGGATTCAGTTTGCACAAGACTCTTTGGTTCCAGGCCATGTGGATTTGCAACCACCAACCTCTGAGTGTCATTTTTAGGTACTAACAGACCCAAAGTTGCAAAGCAAAACTCAGGTGAATACACCCAGTTTGGCCTGTTTTGGGCCCCGAACACAATTTTTTAAACTCATTCAGCCCCAACCCCAGCCTTGCCTGCTGCCCCCTTCCCACTCCCCCACCCCCCCACACACAGCAGGAGTGTCTGCATGTAAGATTTAGGGGATGCAAGGAGAGAGTCTCTGGGTACAGCTAAACCGCAATAAAAAAAAACCCCACAGCAGAGAGTTTCAGCACCCAAACCCCACAAGCCTGAGTTAGTCGACCCAGCCCAGGCATGCACATGCCACAGGTCTTTTACACTGCAGTGTAGACATACACTCGGTGACCAAAATATCCTGCATTTGCCCCCCACATAGAGATTAGCCTGCACACCGGATATCCACAGAAACTTCCACAGCTTGATCCTTAGAGGCCAGAGTGTCTCTCTCGGGAGAGCCCAGAGAAGGAAGTTTTCCAACGACAGTCCCATGAGCTAGAAGTTAAAACCTCTCCCTGGCACCCAGGAGAGAACAGAGTAATGAGAGCTCTCTCTGTAGGCGAGACATGAGGTTGCCATCTTTGTTTTGCTCAACTGTTTTCTTTAACGGAGGCATGAAAAGCAGGCCTGAAATACCCACCAACTTTGTAACTACTTGAGGAGGCACTTAGCTCACATAACTATAGCGGAGCCATGGTTTCTGCCTAGTAAAAGTTACCACAGGATTAGCCTCACCCCATAGTTTATACAGTAATTATAATTAGATACAATGATGTGCTATATAAAATTAATGATATTATCTGGCCACTTTACAATTGCCTCCACTGCTGCATTGTGCATGGACAGTCCGAGTCTTCTGGACATCAGGCATGAAGGCTGCTGCTTATTCCAAGGGGTCCTTCTCCCTGGATGTGGGTGCATTAAGCAGGTTATGAGCTTGCACCACTACCTAGGCTTGCCCTCTTCCCTAGGACAGAATCATAGACTCCACCCCATTGCCATATATAGCTAGGGTGGCCACCTGCCCAGGTTTTCCCAGGATCATTCCTTTTACTGGTGGTAGCTTTCTGGGAAACCTGGAGACATTCTGGTTTTTTTGCACTGCAGAAGTGGCAACCCTGTTATAGCATTATGGTCCATGGGAAGGTCATTGGTATGGGCAGGGGCATTCTTCTAACAAAGAACCTTTGCCCCGTCAGTTTTCCTGTCCGAGAACCAGGGTGTGTAGTTTTAAGCACAGTGTGTATCATCACCTCTGTGGTCAAGCATTCCCCATCCCACCGCTGATATGGAGGGGACTTCGTTCCACAACGTGAGGGTAAGGCCTCATCACTAACAACGGTGACAGGAGAGCCTTCCAGTCATCAGATGGAGAAAGGCAAGTTCTTGGACCTGTCCTTCCTCCTACCACACGTCCACAAGGCCCATGTTTGTGAGGAGTTGTGGTATGGGTAGAAGGCAGGTCTACTAGTGCCACTGACTCCAGTCAGAGGTTTGTGTGCACAAGCAGGGCTGGATTACGGTTCCGAGGGGCCAAACGCTAATGGGAGGGAAGAGCTTAAGTATGAATGATATATTGCAAAAAAAATTATGAAGGCCTCAAACATTTCTCTGCATATTTACATATTATTTGTGTAAAATTAACAAGTTTATTCTACTCTCTCGACACTCAATTCTTCAAACATACTTCTGAGTAAGAGTTAACACGAGGGATGCTATGCTGTCCTTCTCTTCGGCTTCCTCCCTCCTAGCTAGTGGAGTGCTCATCCGCATGGGGATCAACATTGCAACATTCCCCAGTGCCTGCTCAATCTACACCCACGGCTGGCACAGGTTCCTGTGGTAACCGGATTTTTAGTATCCGGTCACCAGTGTTAACCGGATACCTGGCAGTGTGTTCCTGCTGCCAGCTGAGCTCCTTCCAAGCCACGGGGGGCTGCTACATGAGCAAGCTCGTTCTTCCCCCCCTCCCCCACCTGGCCCTGGCTACATAATGGTTAATCCGGCCCTGTGCACAAGGCATGGACTATGGAGTTCTTGACACTTACATAAAATATTGAGCACTCATTCATCCTTTGGCTTGACTGATCATCACCTTTAATGGGACTGTTGCAGATTCACTGAGAAGGGACCAGAATCCAAGAAGGTTTGTTTTTAAAAAGTGGCCCTAAGAGGATCTTTAAAAATAAATGTGCGTTCCTTCTTTGGTCTCAATCTCCGTCCCCAACCCTGCAAAGGCTTCGTTTTACACATGTGAGTAAACCCACTGAAATCCCTGAGCCTGCTCCTATGTGTAAAGCTAAGCAGGTGTGTAAAGCATTTGCAAGCTCGAGGGAGGGGGAGCTGAATTACATCAAATAAGTGACCAAAAAAAGGGCTGCAATGGGGCAGTAGTTGTTTAATCACTTACTTCTAAACCGCGCAAACAATACTTGGGATCATGCCTAAGATTCGGTTAAAATCGTTATAGTAATTGCCATCCTTAGCAAAGAAGCAACTCATGATTCTAGCGGAGTGGGACGTAATTGATTCTCTCTAATCCGTTTGAACAAGCTTGCCAAAATGTCAGGGCCGGCTCCAGGGTTTTTGCCGCCCCAAGCGGCGCAAAAAAAAAGCTGCGATCGCGATCTGCGGCAGCAATTCGGCGGGAGGTCCTTGGCTCTGAGCTGGAGTGAGGGACCATCTGCGGAATTGCCGCCGAACAGCTGGACGGGCTGCCCCTCTCCAGAGTGGCCACCCCAAGCACCTGCTTGGTAAACTGGTGCCTGGAGCCGGCCCTGCGAAATGTTTAGCTACCACAGGCTTTAAACCTGCAGCTGGGCCAACCACATTTTGTGGCAAAACCAAGAACGTACCCAGAACGCTTTCCTGATCTGTCACTCAGAGAAACTTACCTTATCACCTTCCTCTACATCACAGATTTTCTCAGCCGTTGAGGGATTATATGTGGGAAACTTCTTTCCACTCATGGATTCGTGCCATTCGTTGTTAATAAATATCTAACGGGTCAAAAAGAAAAAAAAAATAGCAAACACACATGTACCACCACGTGGAGGCTCAAGTACCTCTCTCTATGGGTCTGATCCTGCAAGGAGTGGAGAACCCACTGAAGCCAAAGGGAGTCAAGAGCATTTAGCAACTTTGCAGGGTTAGGCCCTAATGTTAACGGCTGTTTCCGTTTTTAATTGGCAGTCAGAAAAACCAAACCAAGGGAAGTACATGTACATAAAGATCCAGTGAAGTCAGTTTTGATTGACCAAAGAATGCAGGATCAGGTCCACACAGTGTAATTCATGGGATTTAGACTTGTGAAATAGCCAGGGTGTATTTCAAACCCATATCCTTGGGTATGGCAAGCAGACACCAAGAGAAATCTACATATTTCAAGCACCACAGCTCCTTCTGCTGTACAAAGCACGAACATCAAAGATGTTGGGTATATGCTGCTAATGTTGCTTATTTGGGCTACTCACCAGTGGTTTCTCCATTAGTATTTTCCACCAGTGAATGTGCAGTATGGACCCAATCTTGCAATGCTACCTCACCCAAGAAGTCCTTACTCACAAACGCCCCTAGCACTTTGCCAGTCTTTTGTCTTTGTCAATATCAATTGGAAAAGTTTTGTCTATGGCAATTTATTCTTAAATGAAAATTAAAAAAAAAACCAAACCATAAGCCTTTCTATAGCGAGGACAAATAGAGTCCCAAATAGTGTCGTAACAAAAAATGCATTCAAATACTTTTTAAAATGATTAAAATTTTGATATTTAATATAAACTGTGCATAGTCACCAGTATATAATTGATCAATTCAACACGCATCTGCACTATTCTGACCCAGCTTGACACTATCTGATGATGCTTTTATTAATGATAAATAAATGAGACTAAATCAAATGAGATTAAACACAGTCTTTAGATAATGAGCCCTGGTTAATCTTTGCAAGCTAGTAAATTATTTTATTTGAAGAAAAGTGTTTCACCTTTCCAATGCAATGTACAAGTCTATTGGCACATCAGCTCATGCTAGAATTCAGTCCCACAATGAAAAAGAAAAAACAAAACCCAACCAATCCTGCAGTCTTTGCACACTCAAAACTCCCATTGAATTGGATCTCATGGGTTTCTTTTCTTGCCCATTTCAAAGCATAATTACTCCTTAACATTAGTATCATAATGAATAAATATTTTTCTCTGAATGCTTCTCCAAAGCACGTGCAGCACATATTGGAGGAAGCTGCCTAGATGCGAACTCATCTGAAAGTTGATTTTTAGATCCACCTATCCTGGTGGATTTTCACTGTTTGGGGGGGGGGGGGGAGGGCAGGGGAGGACAGAGGTGTCACGATTACAAAACTCAGTGTGATAACTCCAAAATGAAGTTTTTGCGCCCGGGAAGTTTTAAGTAGCCTGGAGCTCACAAATTACAATCCAGCACTTTGGATGCAAACATTTTAAAACGGTAAGTGTGAGCAGGTTTATGGACAACAAAGGCAAATTTGGATCTAAAATGAGGAACATTTCACTGCAAACTTGAGAGATACAGGGGAGGGAAGCCCATGAAATGACAATGGAATGTTTACAGCTACTAATGAATGGGGCACCATTTTGCTGCATCTATGTGTTAGCATTAATTATGGATGAGGGAGCTGGAGAAAGGATGAAATCACTCTAGCGAATGGCGGACTCAAGGTGACAGACAGAATCGCCAAGATTCTTTTCAGTTTCATACAACTAAGCTTGGGTCTTCCATAAGAAGTCACTCTGCATGTATTACATGGATCATCACCGCACTCTCTTTCATGTTCATCTCTAGGGACATTATAGAAAGATCATTTGTGAGCGATCGTTTCTTCATAAAAGCATGCTGATCAATACAAGACTTGATCTTGAAACAATTTCCCCAATCCAATAACTAGTAGAACTGAAAATAAGATTCTCACTTTAGAGGGATGAGTGCTGTTGGGAGACAGCTGCAACATCTGGGACAAGTCGATAGAGTTTGCAGAATACCCGCATATAGGTGTATTTATCATCATTCTAAGCTTAATATTGCCCATAATTTTCCTCATCAGATGATGTGTTCTGAGCATCAAACCAGAAGTAGAACTTATACTCTAATTAACATTTTCCACTTTTGAGACAGTCTATTTGATTGTGTAGACATCTTTAGGGGTCCTATTCTCCGCACCCATCTCACACACAACCGCCAGTGAAGTTAATAAAAAAAGTCTATCTAAAGTAACATTATGCCGCTCTGAAACCAGCAGCAGAAGATGCAAGTTCCAGGTTAGCAGAAAGCTCAGCTTTTAAAAAGCAAGGTAAGGAAAACTGATTTAAGAAGAAGGCTTATCTGCTGACAAATTATTAATAAATAGCTAATCAAATTTGGTTCATTCGGTGTGTACCTGGATCACATTCAACTTGAGAAATTAATGCAGTTCAGCTTTATTTGTCCTCTTGCAGCTGAGGGACAAATTATAATGATCTCTTATATAATGTAGGAAGCTTGAATTATTTTATATTAATTAAAACATGCTAAACCCCACTAGCCAGTTTAGTTCAGCCACATAGTTGAAATTAGCAAAGTAAAGGTCATATGTCAATAGCGCAGCATAAACCTAAAGAGTCCCTCCACTACAGAAACCGGTGTGTTAGGATACTGGTGAATACAACATAGGGGGTTAACTACCACAATGTGACAATTCCTAAAAAAGATGTTGATGTCTGCAAAGACTCTCAACTCTGCCTTAGAAACCAGCAATGAGCAGATGTCTTGAATATCAAGAACAAAGTAGGAAAACCAGGAGTCTTCTAACAAGGGCTTTGGAAGTTTTACATTTCAGTGGCTTGGGATAACCAAGGCGTTTTAAAGGGAAGCTCTATTGATCACATAAGAGCTGACTGGACTTTTGGTTGTGTGTTTTTACACTGAAGCCCTGACTTTAGCAAGGATACCAGGAGCTTTTTTCAAGTGTAAAAATCAAACATTTTGAAAGGGGTAAGATCAGCGCAACCAGCAATTTTGGGTCTGATCCTAAACGTTTCAGAGCACCCTTCACTCCTAGTGCCTCTGGTAGAAACCGAGGGCATTCTGAACCTTGCACCATTGATTCCCAATTCCCTTTCCTATACTATAAATATAGGGTCTGATCCTGCCATCAATGAAGCCAATGCAAACCCCCCAGTATCCACAATGGAAACAGGACTGAATCCACAGGGGGGAAAAAAACTGTTTTAAAGGAAGTTTTTTTTTTAAATCCTCCTCACAGCTTCACTCTATCCAGATCTGACTTCAATGGAAACTGCCGAGTCCTCTCAGTTCCCAAGAAGTGCTCCATATCTTGGAGGACTGGCTCTTGTAAGCCCAACATACTAATTTGGGAACATGGCATCACCCTGTTAGTGACCCAGGATGACACATTATGTCCATATTCAGTACAAAAACCATTTTCTTCGATAGCAAAATCCTGGAGAACAGGGTGACTAAGTAGTACAAATTCAGGAATACACAGAGGCACCTTTATTTGGTGCTGAAGTGAGTCTAATATGTAAAAGAGGAAAACTATAACACCTTCAACTTGTAGCAGAAATTGCTAAATCAAACGTTGGGAGGGGAACACCCCCCCCCAAAAAAATCTATTTCATTTGATTTCCTGCAGTTGACATGTCTGCGTAGGCAGGATAAGTCCAGTGACATGCATTTTTTTGTATCACTCCTAGAACTGACATCTTTCTCCACTTGCTACAAATACCAGAATAAACTTCCAGTCTGTTAAAATAAAAAAGAGCACAGACTGAGGTGGTGGAACATCAAGCTTAAAAAAAAAAAAAGAAATTAAACACTGCATGATCAATGAGGATGTAACTGAGCCTCTGAATCACAGCAGACAGTGGGGAAAAAAAATCTGCTGTTAATTAAAAGTACTAGACAGATGTATCCTGCAACAATGGGAAGCGCAACACTTTTCTGTAGGAGCGGGACTCCAAACACAGAAGAGTTATAACAAAGCAGGGAAAGTTTTCGCAAACTCAGGTTTTGAGGAGGAAATGACCTAATTTCCCCCATTTACTCTTGACTAGGATTGTTGACATAATACAATAAAGAGGTGCACAGAACTAAGTTTCTTGCCTGAGAGGTCAGACCCTGCGTTCCTGAAGCACCTAGCGCTCCCCTGGGATCCAATATGGATTTAGGGGATGCAGGACCAGGCCCCAGTGCATTCTGCGTTGGAGATGTAGGAGTTTAAAGTCAGCTTACGTTGATTTGGACATTTAGGTGTTGTTTTTTTTAAATCACTGTTGGCTGCTGACCAGATTGGCCAATCAATCTGATTGGTCATCACCTGGTTCCAGCCAGGCACCCTGAATCCTGGCGAGAAGAGAGAGTCTCCCGAGGGGGGCTGTGCAGTTGGGTCTCTCTGGATTTAGCGGGGTCCCTCCTCTCGGGGGGCAAGGGGGGTTCCCCTTTTCCAGGGCGCTGTTGCTGCGGGACACGCTGCTGCCTGGGGACACCCCGCGCCCGGGCAGAGTGCGGGGCTCCTGCCAGGCACCTCGGGCAGGCAGAGCGCAGCGCAGCGGGCGGTGCGGATAACGGATCGCAGGGCTCCGCTCCAGCCCCAGCTCCAGCCCGGCGGCAGGTGCGCGGGGTGCCCGGGCCCGGCTTACCTTGCTGTGCCGGATCTCCAGGTTCCTCACGGGCCGAGGCAGCGCGGGCGGCTTCTTGTCCGGCTGCCCGTTCTCCACCGCGCCGTTCATCGCAGCCATCGCGGGACGGGAGCGAGCGCCGCGCTCCGGCTGCCCCGCTGCCAGCCCTGCCTCTGCGGCTGACAGCCCGGCGGCGCCGCCTTTAAGGGCTCCCGGCCGGCGAGCGCCCATTGGCTCCGCTGGCCGCCCAGGCCACGCCCCCTCCATCCCCGGGCCCCGCGCGGCGGGGCAGGTACAGCTTCCCCCGGGGGCGCACCGCGCCGGCTCCCGGTCCCTCCAGCAGCTGCAGCCCCACGCTGTGGCCCTAGGAATGAGGGCCGGGCTCAAACAAGGAGGGGGATTGTAAGTGTCTCACTGAGCCGGGGCGTCCTCTGGGGAGGTCAGCTGCATGGCCACAGGGGATGGATCCTCCCTGTGAGATATAAAGGGAAGGGGGGAGGATTGGATAGCAAATTAACCTACTAATACAATTGCATAGGTCCAAGAGCAAGCCTGGAACATGCAGCGCAGTGGCTGGGCACCGAACCCACGAGCTAGGTCGCTCCGGTCTTTCAGGGCAACCAGGGACCAACTCCCCCCCATTAAAAGTTTAGCCACTGTCTTTGGAGCAGGGTCAGCTTCCACCTTGGTTGGGTGCTGCCGCGTAGGCGAAGAGCTTTGGCAACATTGAAAACCGTTACACTCATCCCAACCAAAGAGCATATGAATGACCACCTCAGCACTTGGCACAGGTATCCCATCCCTCCCCCACGGGTCTGAGATGGGAGGAGCTTTGAGACTCCTCTCTCAAGAGATGCCTGGAAGCCTATTGACTGGGGCTATTTGGATCAAGTCAGGGCAGGCAGAGAGTTCTGGAGAAGGCCCTGTTGGCAGCTCCTATTTCAAACCCTGAAGATCCAGTTTGGGCACCTGCATGACTGCAGGGCCCAGGGAGGAGGTCTCTCCAGTACGCATATCGCAAGCCATTCATGCCTTTAAGTCAAAACTAAAATCTTAACCACAAGGTGTGTGTCACAAGGGGGGGGGGGGAGGGGAAGGGGCCTTCACCCTCTGTTCCTTGCTACAAAGAGCCCTCATGCACACTGCTGGCAAGTTCAACAGCAAGTGCTTTATTTCCAGTGTGCTATACAAGTCCTTCTCTCCCCCGTATGGCTTTGGTCTTCTTCTTAGGCCCAGGGCAACAGATCTCACTTTTCTGGCCTTCCCTTCTCCTCCCTGTCCTCAGCTGAATCACATGGTTAACTGGTTAATCATCCAGTCCTTTACCAATTATCTCCTCAATTTGGGCCATGCAAGGACAGTCGCCACTTGCCAAGAGTGGTGAGTCAACCTCAGGCTACTCACAGTCACACCTCCCAAAACCAAATATCAGCCTGTTCACACCCTGGAGAACTGACTGATACATACCCATGATGGGTAGCTCCACCTATCATGAGCTTCTAGCTAGTTTCAATTTCTCTACTAGCTTCAGTTTCCAAGTGTGGCCCCACTTGGAACTCTGACCCCATTTGCATTGAAGCCCTCTACTCTCAAGGTGACAATAGCATGGATCTCAGCAACAGTGTCCATATCCCACAAAAAAGGCTGCATCTTCCTCATTAGATGTATAGGGAATTGCCCTATATCCCTGTCTGCTGGCTCACTCTCCCCTTTGGATCCTTCTCCTGCCCTCAACTTCATGCTTTCCTCTATGCTGCCTTTGTTTGGAATTCCCTCACTTCCCTGGCACACCAAACAACTTCCCTTTACTCATGCAACCCTCCTCCCCCCACCCCCCAACCTGCACACTGCAAACCAAAAAGCCTCCCAAGAATATTCCAAAGAGACTGAAAAAGAAAAATTAAACAAAAACTCCAGACTAATATGATACCTGGATTCCCTAAGTCCCACATGCGTCACTGTATTATCTGGGTCTGACTTCAAGCCCAAACCTGTCCTAGTTGAGACAATGGCAGTTTTGCTGTACTGACTTGAAAGGAAACAGAACGGGGGCCTTCAGCTGCAACTCGCTTGAGGAGATGATCGGCCATTATGTGTGCGCATCACACCTTGGTCAAGCTATCAATAACATTATACAAGTTGAACATCAGGAGAAGTCCTTTCCTTCAAAGAGCTGTAAGAGACTCAGAGCACATCCAAAGAGTCAGATTTGGGGCTGAATCCTGCAAAGGCTTACCCAGTTGTGTAACTTCACTCACTGTAAGTAAAATTAGGCATGTATGTAAGTTTTTTGCAGGACTTAATGAATACTGAGGGCAAGTCAATATATGTATATAGAGAGACAGGTTTCAGAGTAGCAGCCATAGAATATCAGGATTGGAAGGGACCTCAGGAGGTCATCTAGTCCAGCCCCCTGCTCAGAGCAGGGCCAATCCCTAGACAGATTTTTGCCCCAGATCCCTAAACAGCCCCCTTGAGGATTGAACTCACAACCCTGGGTTTAGCAGACCAATGCTCAAACCACTGAGCTATCCCTCCCCCTCTGTATCTACAAAGAGAGGTATGAAAAGTACTCCTGTTCTTTTTATAGAGAGACATGCACTTATGTGAAATACACTACAAGGAAAATTTACTATCAAAATGAAACTTCACCACACTTCCTTTTGTCAGATACAAAATAAATGTTCCACAGAACACATTAAGATTAGTCAGGACACCAGAGTTACCCTACAAAATGTTTTATGGGGTCTTGAATCTCCATGAGAAGTCAGGATTTTGCTTTTATATCTTGGCCAAAAGATTAGCACCACCAATGGCAGTAGGCCCCATAACATCATGCCCATCCCATGGTTAATACGGACTTAGAAGAGAAAGCATTACAACATGAATCATAAGCATCACTTCCTGTATTTCCTTTGAGATCTTCCATCCGGGTAATAACCCAGTCAGGTGCTGCTTGGCTTGGCTTGTGAAAGCTGATAAGTAACACAACATAATATTTTCCAGAAGAGCCACATTAGTCACAAATCGCTATCCAGATTTCCCTTGTGAGCTGCAAATACTGAAGGGGACAGATGCCTGGCAATAATAAAAACCAAGTGGCGAGGTGCATGATTTCTAAATAATTTGTGGGGAATATTATTGTTTTAAATAAATTTTCACTTTTTTGTTGCAGTTATCCTGGTATGTAGGTGTCACTTTAGGGAATACTGTCATCAAATGAGTCAGACAGAGAAAATTATGGAATAAATTATGTAGGTAGAAACTATTTATTTATTTATTTATAAACTACCCACCACTTTTGAGCTGGTCACTTCTCATTTAGGCTAGAGAAGGGTCAAAGCAAGAATCTCAATGAAATCCCCAAATTTTGGTGGTACTGAACGTGGAACTTGGATCCAAACTACCCCTAGTTTTCATTAGGGATCACTAAAACTTGGCTGACAAGATTTTGCAAAGTCAAAATCATCCTAGCTTGCCTGTTGCAAAAGTTGGACAAAACCATGACCTTTTGGGTGGAGCAGATCTGGAGTCCATTTGATCTGGACAAGCCTTTATTTCAGACTGGTTCTGCAAAACTAAAACCTGCGCTCGCTGGCCCATCTCAGAGTTATGCATATTTTATGAAGAAGATTTTTTTGGGTCCCCCATAAATTGCAATTCCCAACTGGGCCACTAGGTGGCATGGGACTATGTGACCAGTCCTTAACCTTAGACCAGGGGTCGGCAACGTTTGGCACGTGGCTCGCCAGGGTAAGCACCCTGGCGGGCCAGGCCAGTTTTATTTACCTGCTGACGCGGCAGGTTCGGCCGATCGCGGCCCCCACTGGACACGGTTCGCCGTCCCGGGCCAATGGGGGCGGCGAGAAGCGGCGCGGGCGAGCGATGTGCTGGCCACGGCTTCTCGCCCCCCCCCTTGGCCCGGGGCCGCGGAACCCCGCCCAGTG